TCTCCCCTCCCCGATCTCCCTCCCCATCCTTCCCCCACTCTCCCCCACACCCTCGCCCGCCTCCGCGGCTCCACGCGCCTCCATTTCCGCCTGCGCGCCGCACTTTTCGGTCGCGCTCGGCTTCCGTCCCAGATGATCCCTCCCCGGGGCCGCCGCCTTCCCCACCTCCCCGGCCTGGGGCCGCCTCCTCGGCCAGTGGCGTAGCCGCCTCGGCGTCGCGGCCCCGGGTAGCGGCGGAGTCCGGAGCTCAGCCGGACCGAGCGGAGGGCCATGGAGAAAGCGGCCCGGGGCGCCCTCCACAGCGACTAGAGCAGGCCCGCCGCGGCCGCCGGCGCCATGGACCGAGCCCCCGCCGACCAGGTACGCGGCCCGTGGGGTCCCCGGCCTGCGCCCGCCGCACTGTGCGGCTGTTGCCGGGCGGAGTCCCAGCCCCGGCCCCTGGTGGGGCAGGAGGGTGCGGTCTCGGGCTCGGCCCGGCCTGGGACCGACCTCGCCTCGGCTGGAGAACGGGCCGGGGGCTCCCAAGTTGTGCCAGCAGGGGAGGACCGCGGCTTCCAGCGCCCTCAGCTCGGGAGCGCGTTGGCGAGGGGCGTCTGCAGGCGCCTCAGCCCGCAGGCGGCCCGAGGTGCAGCGGGTCGAGCCCTTCGGCTCTGGGTTCCGGGGATCAGAGTCCTGTTTTTGCAGTGGCCCGGGAAGGTGTCCGTTTGAGACGCGATCGCTACAGTTGCCCTTTGCCCTCATGTTTTTCAGAAATTATAATTAATTTTTTAACCGAGCGTGTATATTAAGGGTGCCTACAGGAGCACGAGTTCATTTCTGAGCCCGTTTTCTTAGTCTCAGTAGTCCCTTCTATCAGTGTTTTGTTTTGAATTGCATCAGATTCTTGATTATCCATGCCAGTAGGTGCTGGAAGGCAGGGATAGTGACAATAGGAGTAGCAATCTAAAATAGTCCCACCCCCTTTAGGTCACCGCCGAACGACTTAATTTGATGAAGTTTATTCCCTGGCCATCCCCCTCTTCCAAGATCTTGCCCAGGGACGAATTAGGAAAATACATGAAAGAAGAGGCTAATGGCTTGTCTGTTAATTTTACAGATGGATAATTACTACCTGAATAAAGTGGACAAGCGTTCCCAAATTCCTGTGTATGTCTGTACTAAATTGATTTTGAAGTTGGACTTTTAGCAGGCAAAGCACAGCTTCCTAGTTGTATGTTTTTATGGTTTTTATTTTAAAAACGAGGAAGTTGTATTTGAAAACACAAATGAGTTTTATAAAACATGAATTACCAAAGTAAAATTGATACGGGGCTTCTTGTCAAAGATCTTCCTGTGACCACAAGTATTTTATATGCAAGCTATGTCCGATTTAATTTTTAAAAAATGTTTTGATGTTATCAAAAATACCTGAGTCCAGAGCTTGACTTATGAACAGGAAATTTCCTTGTACCATTTCCTTGTATGTGTGTCACTAAAGAACGTGTCGAACATGTTGGCCCTTCACCCAGATGCCAGAACTGTAACCAGTAAGGTCACCATGTACCACTTAGGGTTCCTTTCATCCTGGAGGAAATGTAATTAACTGTTTAGATGGTAACTCTTAGCACACTGTTTGTGATTATCTTAACAGCAGGCGCTGTGGGCAGAGTATTTGGAGGGGCTTGCCTCTTTCATCCCGTACCCTTCCAGAGTTTACAACCTTTTGAAACCTTATAGAAATTTAGAACTAGAAAGTCATAGAAACAGTTTTCTTTGGAAAGGTTTTCCTCCAATACCTCAGCTTGATCCTAAATGGGAGAAGAATATGAAATCCCCCCCTTTCCCTGTACTCAAAAAACAGGTCCAGAAAAGGGATGTGATTTTATCTAATAATTCCTTGGGCAGTTAATTTGGGGAGTCTAGGGCTGACCTGGAAGAAGTGCACTTTGTTTATATATGTGCTTTTCTGGAGTAAGACTCCATTATTTTCAGCATACTCTCAAAGGGGTCGCCCATTACTGAAAAAGGGCTAAGGACCATTAACATAATGACATAGATAAGGGAGGGCCTGAGCTTTTCCAACTTTATAATTTCAATCTGTAATTTTTTTTTAGGTTACTTGGAGTATACTTTTATTTTCCTACTAAAATGAATTTAGATAGGTAAAAGTCATTAAAAAGTATATGTGTATGTGCAGAATTACTTTTTTTTTCACAAAAGGCTTTGTTTCTTCCTTTTAAACCAATTTTGCCTTATATTCAGATATTCTGGAAATGCCAACAGCATTAGAACTTCATTCTAGCCTGCTGTGGTGGTGCATGCCTGTCATTCCAGCACTCGGGAGGCAGAGGCAGGAGGATTGCCTCAAGTTCGAGGCCAGCCTAGGCTACATAGTGAATTCAAGGTCAGCCTGAAGTACATAGCTGAGACCCTGTCTCAAGAAAAACCAAAAGAAAAAAAAAAACAAACTCCACTCTAATATTATAGTTGTTAGCAATACATAGAAGTTTATTTTAAAAAATAGAATTAATACAGACTCTCTTCATTTTAACCAAATTAAATCTTCAGAGTACTGCATAAATATAAGTTTTATAAAAAACATTTGTGTTTGAAGGGCGTTGATGTTACTGTTCTTGCAGATTATATTTTTATATAAAGTCTTCTATGTAAAGATAAATTCTGTATGTGTTGGTCATAATTATAAAAAGTCAGTCACTGAGAGTGCATGTTAGATGGACAGTCTCACTTGCAGTAGTGACAGTTTGAATGGTACAACCAGAAGAGTCTCAGGAGAGTGTGCTCTTTTAGCAAGACCGCATTAAATCAGAACAGGTAGATTAATTTTAGCTGCTAGAGTTAGGTGCTCTAAGAACAGATATTACATGTTATGCATTTTTTTTTCTTGAAAAGCTATGTGAAGGGAAGTGAAGAATAAATCATGGAGTTCATTTTGTTTATAAAAGCTTAGTGCCTCTATTTTAGGAAATACAGGACAGTGTTTTGACATTTTAAAAAAAATAAACAGTGGGCTTATAAGTGACTGAACACTTGAGATTCACAGACTCTTATTGTCACAAATATAAATGTTGGTTTAATTTTTAGTTTATTAAAATTAGATAATTCTTTTAAAAGAATTTACAGAATTACTGGTTATTAACATCTTTTTTTTTGGTACTGAGGATCGAATTCTTAGGAAAACAAATATAAAAAATATGTGTGGGGGCCAGGGATTTAGCTCAGCAGCACCGCACCTGCCTTGCAAGCGCAAGGTCCTGAGTTTGATCCCCGGTACCAAAAAAAAAAAACCAAACAAAAAAAGTGATTTCATGCAATATTCACCAGTAAGAATGCAAAGTTACTTGGCTTATAACTTTTTTTTTAATAACTCTTTCCTTTAAATCATTTATAGACCTAAACTAATATGAGCGCTCCAGGCTAAGTGTATGTCAGTCCTCTGTATCAAAGGGTTCTGGCTCCCTGGATTCAGCCAACTGTAAATTGAAGATATTGGGGCGGGGGAATTGTGTCAGTACTGAGCACGGGCAGGCCCCCCCCCCATTATTCCCTAAACAGTACAGTGCAGCAACTATTTACATAGCATTTGCATTGTGCTAGGGACTAGAAGTCGCCTAGGGAGGCTAGGGAGGATTTAAAGAACACAGGAGGGTGTGGTGGTGGGTTATATGCTAATCTGTGGTATGTCACATAAGTGACCCGAGTGGGCATGGATTTTAGTGTGTGGTGTGGGGCCCAGAGCCAACCCCACTAGACACGGAGGGACAGCCGTCTAAATAAGCTACTGTAAAACGCTTACTATTCAGTAATATGACCACTGGAGTCAGCCTTTGCATTTCCTATCTTACCAGATTCCTCAGGACCTTGCACTTGCCAGGCAGGTGCGGTGCCACTGAGCTACATCCTCGGCCCCACATTTTTAAAGTAGTACTTTAACAAAAGGTGTTTGTAAAATAATATTTTTACAATCAGAAAGTATATACATTTTAGAGAAAATACCATTTAAAACAACATTTTCAAGCCTTTGGATCAAAGAGAAAATTGAAAAATAGACTGAGAGGTCACTGACAAGTAGCAGTACCATGGCCAGTTCGAAAACCTGAGACGCGCGGCCCAGGAGCGCGGCCCAGGCTGTTCTCCGAGGCAGATGTGCGGTCACCTACATCAGTTAATGCACAGCGTGGAAAGGGAGATAAAAGCACCCTCTCAGGGCAGGAAGCTAGGGGTGACCTCTCCCAGCGAGAGAAGTGAAAAGTGTAAGAACAGGGATTAACAAAGTAGATAACTAAGAACACGTGGGCCCTTGGGCGCATGTGCAGTGGCGGAGCAGGTGGGCAGGGTCTTTCCGGAGGCCTTGGAGAGTTTGCTTTCCTGCAGTTTGTTTAGCAAGGGGCGATTCGCAGTCGGAAAACCAGACAGCCCGCGGGCGTCTGAGAAGCATGGATCCGCTTCAGTGCTCTGTCTGCCGGGCGGGAGAGCGCGGGCGGGAGAGGGGAGAGCGCAGGCGGGAGAGCGCGGGGTGGGGTGGGAGGGCGTCTCTTGATGTTCTCCCTCAGGCCTGGTTTGAGTGGGCGTCATTTTTGCGCTGTTTAATCTGGGGCATCATTTGCATTCTGTGGAGGTTCAGGCTCCGGAGGTTGTGCTTGGGAGGGTTGGCGGCCGACCCTTGTGCCTTTCCTCCACCACCTGCCGCAGTGCTATGGGCCGTGCTTTTCAGTTCTGCCGGCTGTTACTGTTGTCTTGTGTTTATCCAGCAGACTCTCTTTCACCTCTCTCCTGGGGGTAACGGCCCTTTTAATTTTTTTATTTCGGGACAGGGTCTCACTGAGTTGCCAGGTGCAGGGCCCCTCCTTCCTCAGCCTCCCGTGCAGAGCGTGTGTGGGGTTTACTGTCATGTCCCCTTGCACCTGACTCATAAATGTTTTCAAGCAAGGTTTTTGTAATTTGTGTTGATAAATTCTTAAGTTTTCTAAATTCACATTAAAGATTTCTTGTTGATATTTGCTTTAATGTATATACAGTTTAAAAAGCAAAAAGCCTTACGAAGTCTTTCAAAGACAGTTTACTGGGATTTATGAGTTTTCATAAATTTGGAAAAATTCAAAGGATCTGAAAGACCATTTTACCATGTAGGTGGTTGAGTTTCTTCAAGCAGAATAGTGCAGAATTACGAGACTGTGTGCAGTGGTGCCTGGAGCCGCTCCATGTTTCTATTTTCTCCAAGGAGTGACTCCTGCGGTAAAGTCTCCGACCCCCTTCCCATAAGCCTCGGCAGGAGAGGTTGCTGCTGTGCAGCGCGACTGGTCTGGTTGTCACGCAGGATCTTTTTCTTTGGTTTTTATTTTCTATCCTCATATTAAAGTGTTGCCAGCATCTGTAACTTATCTGATATATTTTCTATGTAAGTTTTTTTTTTTTAATGTGGAATGTGAGAATCGTTTTCCATCTTGCCTTTGCTTTTTGGGCCGGAGGGCAGAGGGTAGGGCATTTGGATAAACAATAGATACTGAAGACCTCCACGGTCACAATAAGTGACTCTTGGACCCAGGGATTGGAGCAGAGGTTGTAACTGTGGAGAAAGTTGTCGCCCTCCCTGCTGGTGACAGCTGTGTGTGACAGCCCCTCTTCCTCTCTCCCTTTCTAGAAACAAAGGATCGTCTCAGTGTTTGTGAGTTGTATTGTTGAACTTTCATATCTGCAGTGCACTGAAGATAGAAACCAATTCAGACCTTGATATTTAAAGATATATACTGTGTCTGTGTACTGGCATCAGTTGTAAATTAGGTATGATACTTATTGAACAGTGGGTTGCCTAAATCCATAAACTTTTTTTATAAATGCAAATGAAACTGGGTATACAAGTTCGTTGTAGTCTTTGACCTGAATGAGAATTTGAATATGCTGTTACCAAAATAATTGATTCCTTGATTCCAGGGTTGAGGAGTACTCTAAAAGTATTATTTTTAAGTTACATATTTTATTTTATTTTGTATAAAATTACTTATATTAGAATGACTATTTTTCATTTTAGACTATTTGATGTGCTCACATTCTGTGCTTTTTTTAAAAAAAAACTAATATATATTGTCTAGATTTATGAAACTTTTCAGAATTCTTATATGTCCAAAAGAACTTTTTTATTTTTAAAACAAATCCTAAAAACTTTGTTTTTATTGCAGTTAAAGTGTCATTTGTTTCCCCTCTTCTCATGCACTTACGTGAACCTCATTAAGCAAGTTTCCATTGTGATTATTGTTGAAAGCCAGCTTTTCCCTAATAGGTGAAGCCCTCATTAGTTTGATGACTTATACTCTATATAGTGCTCTAATGAAAAGTTCGAGTTCTGATGAATATCACAGAATTGCTAACTTACATTATTAGCATTTAAGTTGTTCTTGCCTAATATTAAAAATCAGGAAACTGGCCGGGGATTCAGCTCACTGGTTTTGGCACCTGCCTTGCAAGCGCAAGGTCCCAACTTCGATCCCTGATACCAAAAAAAAAAAAAAAAACTACAAAAGGTCCTGAAACATCCCTCAACTGTCTTTAACAGTGTGTGTATATGTGTGAAATAAAAAAAAAAAAAAAAAATCAAGAAACTAACTTCAGTTTACAAATATTTGTGCTATTACTTAAAGATTTCCGATTTAATGGTACAAACATAGATTTCAATATTAACACTTAACCAACATTAAGTCAGATAAGGGGAAAGGATATTGAAATAGAATTGTTCTATAGTTCAGACTTCACCACCTCCCTTCAATTTTTGTAAGTGTTTCTGAATATTTCCAGTAGACTGTTTTGAGATAACTTTATTTCCTGAAAAAGACCATATATTAAACATGTCGAGTCTTGTCTTTTTATTTACTTGTTTCCAGCTACTTTTGTGAGAAACCAGAACTATGTAGAAGGTGGTGCATTTTGATAAACAATAGATACTGTAGACCTCAAAGTCACAGTAAGTGACTTTTGAAACTATACAGTGTTGTAACTACAGGAGCTCTAGTAGATATTACCCTAGTGAGTTCACTGGGGGAAAGTTCTGGTTGGGACATTGCTTTTAAGATGATTGTCTTGAGTGGTTAGGACATTGGCTTGTATTGCACCAACTTGTTTTATAAAATGTGTTCAATATCTTTCTAGGTTATAATATTCATGTAGTTTGCAGAATATATGTACAGTGTTTTATAATGTAAAATTCTGAATTTTTAAATATAGGAAACTATGTAAAAACCAATGTATAGCTTAGTAAATCTTATAAAATGAGCACCTTGTTAGTCTTATCCCGTTTAAGACATAGGTCTTTGCCTGGTACCCCAGAAGCTGTCAATTGACTCTTCCAGTTTAGTTCCCTCTTCCTGAGGAATTCCTGTCCTGTAGTTTTGGATCTTTGTAGTTTTGTCACCCATCTGTGGATCGCCCAGTACTGTAATTTTTATGGCTTACATCTATAAATTTATTATAAGAAAAGATACAAGGAAATGAAGATGGATTACTTTAGTTTGCTCAGATGTCTACTGGGAAACTGAAGCAGCTATTCTTGTTTTTTCTGTAACTGGGAACCAGAATTTTTTCCCCATATGTTAAGAATTTTTTGATTCATCTCAGACATTTTCCTTTGTTTTAACCTGATGAAACTAATCATAATTTCCTGAAATGGTCAGAAATAGACTGTCTATTTGGACTATTCAAACAAATACAATTATTCTTCACAACTCTATTTAATGATGTTTTCCTCTAACAAAATTAGTTAAAAACAGACTGTTTTGTATGAAGAGTTATGTTTCTTAACTATCAGCTTTATTTTTAGACACTGAGATGAGACTTCCTTGTACTCTGATTGCTTTAGCAGCTTTGGTTATATAAGAGAGATTACTTGATTGAAATGTAATCATCTTTGGTAAGTTTTCCTCCCGTTTTATTGGTGGATTTGTCACATGACTTTATCGTTATTCAGCTGTATTAAATTGGTGCTGCTGCTCCATTTGGGGGTTTTGCGATACGGAGAGGAGACTCAGAGTGAGTGTAGCCTGCAGTCCCATTGCCTTTGTGCCGGGGTGTTGCTCACCTGTCCTTGGTGCCTTTTGCCCTCCCTGAAGAATGTCAAGCTCTCTGCGGAGGTGGAGCCATTCGTGCCTCAGAAGAAGACCCCGGACCCGTTCATGGTACCCATGGCTCTCCCCAGCGACAGCGGAAGCGTTTCTGGTGTGGAACCAACTCCGATTCCCAGCTACCTGATTACTTGTTACCCATTCGTTCAGGAAAACCAGTCCAATAGGTAATTTCTTCATCATTTGCTTTATTGTGTTATGTGTGTGGGGCACCGTACAGCTTGGCAAAGCACACTTATAAACACTCATCTCTTCTGTGTATTTCTTAAGAGAAGTAAGTAAAACAATAGTATAGAAACTTGAACGTTTTCTTTTTTTTGAAACAGGGTCTCACTATGTAGTTCAGGCTGGCCTTGAACTCACTATGGAGCCCAGGCTGGCCTTGAATTTGTAGTGATTCTCCTGTTTCAGCCTCTTGAGTGCTGGGATCACAGGTGTGCACCACGTCACCCGCTAAACTTGAACATTTTTTTCATTTATTTATTTATTTATTATTGGGGATTGAACTCAGGACCCTGTGCTTGCAAGGCAGGTGCGGTGCCACTGAGCTAAATCCTCGGCCCTAAATATGAACATTTTAAACATGGATTACTTTCTTATTCTTTCTAAAGGAAATAGGGTTTTTTGGGTATGTCCCTTTTATTAAAAGTTGTTGAAATTTATTTGAAATAAATAGACCCATGGGGAGAAATGAAATAATCAGAAACCCTGTTTTGAGACTAGACAGCTAACCTCACAGTGGCCATGACAGTGTGTGATGTAAGGAAGCTTGAGGGTCGCCTTTCATGTTGGGGAGTCCATGGTTATTTGGCGCGTGTGCGTATGCCCAGACGCTGATCTTAGGCTGTGCTGTGGTCTCTGGTGGCTCTGGGTTGGCGCAGTGTCTCCATTCCCAAGTGTGACTCCTCCCCTTCTGGGATGGGGCTACTGGCCCATTGCCGGTGTGGTTCACTTTATTGGTGTGTAGAGGTATTTACACCTTTTCAAAGTGATGCCGCACACAAGACTTGTATCTGCGCAGCACCTTGTCACTTGGATAAGGCAGCTGCTGTCTCTGGGCTCTGCCCAGCTGTCCCGGAGGGTGGAAGCAAGTGGTGTTTCCACACCGCTGTAACTCACTCTGGCCTAGTAATGTGCCATTGCCATTGGACATCCTTTGGGATATTCTGGATGTTCGCCTAAGAGGCCTCTAGACCACCTTTTCAGATGTAAATGTCCAAGGTAATGTCCTGAGATTTTTTTTAAGTGGTATTGGAGATTGAGCCCAGGGCTTCTGCACTGAGCTGCATCTCGGGATTCTTAGTCTCTCGAAGGTGGTACAAACAGTAGAAACTAAGGGATCCTTCCAGTGGAAGTTAGCATTATATTTAAACTCTGCAACCTGTTGGGGAATGTTCGGGTGATTTGTAAACTAAATTTAGTAATACTGCTTTTCTGTTGGACTAAAGGACAAAATGACCAAGTATGCAGTATGATAAATTTGTTTCCTTGCCATATCAGATCATCTCTGAGAATGCATGAGCAAGCCAGCCAGCAGATTGCTTTTAATACCTTCAGAATTAATGGTAGTGAGCATTTTTCCTTTTGGCTTTGTCATGGCCTCAACCCCTCACTTGCAGTCACCTTCTACCAGGGCTGGAAAGACAGGAAGTAGACCTGCTGGTGCCCTAGGACTCCTCTCTCCTTTTCCTTGCTTGGACCTGGAGCCTGGTGTGTTGCCAAGGAGCGAAGCCAGGTGAAGAGCTGGAGTTGGCCGTTTGTGTAGGGAGTGTAGGAGAGGAGTAGGAGGCTGGGACGAGGCGCAGAGTGAGGTGGGGGAGCTCACCCTGTGCAACGGTTGCCTTCCACCATGATCACCTGCCCTGTTCTTTGCAGAAGGCCGACTGCATGATTGGCTCTGGAGCCAGACTTAGGGCTGCCATTGTTCGTAGACCCAGCAACCAGGTGTCCTATAACTGTTAGGCAGAAATATCTTGAAGAGGTTGGGGGCAGGCTCACAGATCCCCCGGCAAACTACCGGGTTGGATTTCTTTCTGCTGCCATTTAGATTGTTATTACAGGTACATGATGGTCTCTAATTATAGCAGAGGAATTTATATGATGGTGGTAATTTTGTTTTCCTTATTGTTATGAAGCCACTGTTCTGTACTTTTTTCTTTTATTAAAAAGAGGAGATTGTGCTTTAGCATCATTTTTAGACTTGTGAGTAGATGTGTTCTCTCTGATTTGGTTTTGCAGACAGTTTCCTGTATACAGTAACGACATACGATGGCAGCAGCCCAGTCCCAGCCCTGCCGGGCCGTACCTTGCCTACCCCATCCTGTCTGCTCAGCCACCCGTCTCTGCCGAGTACACGTATTACCAGCTAATGCCCGCGCCCTGCGCCCAGGTGATGGGTTTCTACCACCCTTTCCCCGCACCCTACTCTGGCACTTTCCAGGCCGCGAGCTCCGTCAGTGCTGTGGCCGCAGAGTGCCCTGAGCGTCCGGGCCAGCTCGGCCAGGTTTTCCCCGTGTCCACGCACCGCAGCAGAAACAGCGGCAGAGGGCCACTTGTGCCGAAAGTGAGTGGCTGCTTTTGGTTGGCTTTTAAATTCGATGTTTCTGTTGCTAATACTTGCATAAGTTATTTTAATTTAATGATAAAAATTGTATGGTGACACCACATTAATAAGTGAAACCTGAAAAAAAAAAAATAAGTGAAACGTGTGCTGATGGTCCTGATGGCTCGTGCATGTCACGAGATTTTATTCTTCAGAAATCAGCAGGGAAAGAACACTTGTGTTGCATTAAATCCCTTCAACTTCATTGTTTGTACTCTGAATTTTTAGTGGGAACAGTGCTTTGGTCTATAAGAGGTGCTTTACTCTTAAAGGGTCTTACAGGGCTAAAAAAGAAAGATGTATGTGTGAAACCACTTTTATTTGGGACCAGCCATTTGACTAAATTAAAAATAAAAGGAAAAAGAAGACAGAAGGAAGTGAAGTGAAAAAGCCTTGAGATCACAGGAGAGCTCAAGCTCACCCTAGGCTGCTTTTCTGTTAGGCCTTCCCCCGAGGGTCAGTAAGAAGAGAAGCCAACCCTGGTCCGCATTTTGGAGTCCATGAAAGAAAGGCCCGTCCTCTGACTAGCCTGCAATGAGGGCTGGGTGCTTCCTCTAGGTGCCACTAGCCCAGCTTCCTCAGTGAAAAGTCTTTGCGACCTCCTGGAATCATTTCTACAAATTAAAAACAAGCAGCAGAAACTACTTTAAAAAGTTTTATCTTTGTTCATGGAAACACTTTGGGCCAAGGGAGACCCATTTTTGACTTCTGAGAATGAAAAGAAATAAATATTGAAACTAATATGATAGCGTGCAGTTTCCAGATGTGAAAAGGACAAGACTGCCAGGTGTAGTGGGAACGCCTGTGATCCCAGCACTTGGGAGGCTGAGGTGGGAGGATCGCCACAAGTTCGAGGCCTGCCTGGGCGACACAGTGAGTTCAAGGCCAGTCTGAACTACATAGGAAGACCCTGTCTCAAAAAAAAGAATGTATCCCCGCAGTTCAGTTTAGAAAATGAAAGAAGTTACATTTAGAATTCTGTTGTGTAAATTGCTATAAAGTGAATGCTCATACTTGAAAGAGCTTGGAAAGAGTTGGGGTGTTTGGGGGTGGTGCTGGGGGTTGAACCCAGGCCTTTGGGCTGAGCTCCCTCCCCAGACCCCTGAGATAAGATTTTCATAAATCGCTAATTTGCCCAGACTGGCCTTGAACTTGCAGTCCTGCTGCCTCAGGTGCCCAGAGTGCTAGATCACAGGCATGTGCTACCACGTCCAGCTTCAGATCAACTTTTTCCTTTGTGAACTTCAAAGCAAAAAGTTTTCTACACATTATTACTATCATGAAACTAAAATTTAGCTTTGGGATAAGTTACAACACTTTTTATTATAATTTTTAATAAAAATCATGCCCTTGTCATTTATTATTGACAGAAAATTTAAAAATGTACATAAAAATGAATTCATATTTCACTAATAGTAGTGTTGATGGTTACTTGAAAAATAGGGTGTAGGTATGTGCATGGTAGGTTATTTAGCCTGTTATGCATCACCAAAGATACTTTCACAAAACCCTAATGCAGTAACGCTGCCTCCCTGTGGGTGGAGAGCCATTCATTTGTTGCTTGCATTTAGATGTATTATGTTATGGATGTGTATTTTATAATCTTTAGTTCATTGAACATGTTCCCTTTTTTTTACACTTACATCAGCAACAGCTTTTACAACAGCACATAAAAAGCAAAAGGCCACTGGTGAAAAATGTAGCTACTCAGAAAGAAACTAATGCAGCAGGTCCTGATAATCGGTCCAAAATTGTGCTTCTGGTGGATGCGTCCCAGCAGACTGGTAAGGCAAGGGTTCTGCACATCACTGATGCTTATCTGTTTCCTGTATGCTCTTAGTAACTGTGGACAGATTCCTTTCCAGGATTCCGGACTTCCACCCTTCATTTGCCCTGCCACTTGGTGAAATTCTGTAGGAAGCATAAAACAATCCATGTCTTTAATGTTCTTCCAACTTGCTTGCTTTTTTTTGTACCCTTTTTTTTTTGGTACCGGGGATCGAACTTGAGTCCTTGCGCTTGCGCAGCAGGCAGGGAAACCACTGAGCTAAATCCCCAGCCCCTTTTGTACCCTTTTGAGCAGGGTTTGGGATTTTTTTTTTTCCCTTCATAGTAGTGGAGCAGGCCAGAAAGCAGAGATAGAATTGTGCAGATATTGTACAAATTTGAGGGTTCGTTTTGGTAAAAATAAAAATTGTACATGTTTTTATAACTAGATTAAAGCTCTCTAAAGCATTTTAACACCCTGTAACATCTTTATAGAAAGAGCTTAGTAAGTTTCCTATGCCACATTTATGCACAGAATTGAACCAAAGCTGTGATAATATTATCACTTCAGAAAAGTAAACATTTTAAAGTAAGATAATTATTTTAAAAATTTTAGGACTGTGTATAAGCATCAAATTTAAAAAGTTTTATTCTAACAGAAGATAAGAATTAAATCCTCATACTATCCCAGATCTCTGTATTTCTTTCGTGCAGTTCCAGTCTCTCATTTCCGTCTGTCGTCTGTGGAGTAGATGCTCGTCCCCACCCACCCACTGTCACCGGCCCCAGGAAAAGGTCCTTGTTAAGGGTCCAAGCTCAAGAGTTAGGTCTGCTCGGGAGTACAGGTGCTCTTTGTCTCCTCAGCCTCAACTCAAGTGGGGTCTGGGTGGAAACGAGTGAGACAGCCTGTAGGCTTTTTTGCTTGGGCGATGCCTTTTCTGCCGGCTCTCTGTGTGTATACCCTGTTACAGCCGCCCAGACCCCTGGGAGCAGAGAAGGGGCCGGGGTGCATCCTGATGACAGAGCAGTGGCTGTGGTCTGCCAGGTGTGGGGCAGTGCGTGTGACTGGTGGGAGCTTGGGCCGCTGCGGAGAAGTCACGGGCGGGTGGGTGTGTGGCTCCATGCAGCGCTCCCATGGGCTTGGTCCCGAGTCTGCAAAGTAGGGAAGGGAATCACCAGGTAACGAGTCCCCAGTTTTCTCTGTTGGTTATTTGTAGTCATGGTGACCCACTTGTACGGGCTGTCAACCCTGGGAAGGTGCTATTGTAAAGAGTCACCTTTACTGCTTTAGTTGGCTCATTAAGGCACCTAAAGACAAACTTCTGAAGCATAAGGAGTAGAGAGTGAAAAGAGGAAGGAGTGATTTGAGGAGAAGACCGCACATTCTATCAGCACTTTTATTCTTTAGTTTGCTTTTAGTTCAGGATTTATTAGAATCAATAAGAGGATTAAACATTGTAGTTTGATAATACTATTGTATGTCTATTTGTAATAGATTTTTACTTCTGAATGTAAGCTCGTATTAAGAGTTTAACAAATGGCTAGATATAAGGTAATATAGAAAAGTTCACTGCATTTCAATATGCCAGCAAAGCAAAATTTAAGAAGAGATTTCATTTACAAAGCAACTGAGTAGAGTTTCCTTGAATAAATCCTAGGGCCACGTGAAGCGCATATGCAGAAAATTTAAGACTTTATGATAGGACCTTAAGCAAACCCAAAATGCCAGGTTCCTCAGGTCGGCTTGATAAGGCAGTCTTCTGGTTAGTCTGCAGAGCTGAGCAGGTTTGATGGGAATCCTGGCGGGAGCTGCGGGGACCTAACAGAGTAATTCTAAAACACAGGAGCAGGGCTCTGAGAGCCAGGAAATCCCTGGAAAAGAACTTCTCCTTTAAAGACTACTACTTACAAGTTGTGCTAATTCTTATGGGGTTATAGCATCAGTGCAGATACAAGAATGAAACAAATAGGCCAGAAATGGCCCTGGTGTGTAGCACTGCTGCCCCCTAACTTGTGTCCCCCTCAAATCCATTCCAAATCGACTGAAGACTTATTTGAGAAAACAGACGATTGGAGAAACCTGGGCAGATATTTGTGTGACTGTAGAGATAGCACTACTTGGAAAGCTAAGAATTTTAATTCTTACTAAAAATGAATGACAGCCAGGCATGCTGGCTCATGCCTGGAATCCCACCATTCAGGAGGCTGAGGCAGGAGGATTGCTTTGAGTTCAAGGCCAGCCCGAATCACATAGCATGACCCTGTCTAAAAAAAAAAGTAAATAATACCCCATCTTGTAAAAATGTTTTACCATGTACCGTTCACAATTTTTGACCATGTGAAAAACCCTGAGGAAGAATTGCATATGATAAGGAATTCACAAGAATCACTAAGAAAATGATCTCATACTGCCCTTGGGGCCTGTGGATTAGGTGCCAGGGACTGCAGCAGCCTGGCAGGACTGCAGGAATCTTTCAGTGCTGTGAATGTATCCACATGGAGCCTTTCCTCAGAAAGAGAAGGGGCTGTTTGATGTAAAGTACATGTTATTGTAATCCCAGCTACTCAGGAGCCTGAGGCAGGAGGACCCCATTTCCAAATAAAAATCAAAAGGGATGGGGCCATAGCTCAGTGGTAGAGCACTTGCTTACATGTGCAGGCTCTTGGATTCAATCCCCAGCACTGGTGGGAAGAAAGCACATTTTTACAGGACAAGAGCACTGAAACCTCCTTAGTGTCCTTCAGCAGGGGTGACAAATCATAAAAATTCAGGGCACCCACTCAATAGAAGATGAGGTTGTTTTCTTGTATAATTATGAAGAAATGATAGCGTGAGACATATATACACAGCCCAAGTCTAACTTGTGTCCCTGTTGTGTGAAAATTAGGCCTGGGTAGAGATGTGGAGAAAGGATAACTTGTGATATGCTGGGAAATGATTTTAAAAGGTTTTTTACCCCTTTTTCAGAATGTCTTACTCTAATTATAATTTATGGAAAAAAATACAAAAAACAGGCAACTCAGTAGAAAAATGGGCAGAAGTCAAATAATCCAAAAGTAAAATTAACAGACATTTTACAAAAAGAAGTTGTTAGTGGCAAAAAGCATTGCAGAATATGCTTGTCTGCTTGACCTCATTTTTAAGAGGGAAGATGCAAAGGGAAACCCACGTGAGCCCCTCTCCCCAGCGCCGAGGGCTGGGCCTGGAGCTCTGCACTGCGCCCAAGTCCAGCCTTTTTTCTGTTTTTTGAGACAGGGTCTCACCAAGTTGCTCAGGTTGGATGAGCCACCTGAGCGACACTGTCCATATTGGTGAAAGGTGTCGTCTAGGAGACATTAATCCCGCGTGGGATGGGCACATGGATCTGCAGGAGGGCTTCCCCCTGCCACTGGGCTCGCGCTGTGTTAACCACTTTGGAAATGGCCAGTCTGAAGTTGAATCCTAGTCCTAAAGTCTTAGGACTGTTTGCTGTGGAGAAATCCTTGTGCACTGAAGAATGGGCGAGCAGAGACCCCGCTGCCCAGGGGTCCCCTCCGTGCTGGGGGCTCCGCCCGTGTGTGCCCTTCACAGGAAGATGTTTCCAGCACCTGGAGACTGGTGTTGTGGGGGAGCACAGAGTGGGGTGGTGTGTGGCTGATGGGTGAAGAGCACCGGACAAAGGGAGGAGGCCGAGAAGCACAAAACTCAGGGCCGAGGTGCCGTGCCCTCTGTGGAAGACGGGCAGGAGGGGCACACGGGACCTCAGAAATTCGTGATTCCCTTTCTTGTCTCTCCTCTCTCTGTCTCTCTCTTCTGTGTGTGTGGGTGGGGGGGGGGTGCTAGGGATTGCACCCAGGGCCTTTGCACTGAGCTCCGTTTGAAACCTTTTTTCACCTTTTACATTTTGAGTCAAGGTCTGCCTAAATTGCCACAGTTGAGCTCAGACCCGTGTCCCTCCTGCCTCTGCCTTGCACAGAGTGCTGGCATTACAGGCGTGTGCCCTGCTCTTATCTTTGTTTTGGTTTTTTGGTACCAGGGATCGAACTCAGGACCTTGTGCTTTCCAGGCAGGCGGCGGGCGGAACCACTGAGCTAGATCCCCGGCCCTGTCATTTTATTTTCTTATGACATTGACTTAACTGGAAGTTACCAGTTCGATCCTCACAAAGAGCCATCATACTTCTCTTGCCTCGTAGATTTCCCTACAGACATTGCTAACAAGTCTCTCTCGGAAAGCACCACCACCATGCTGTGGAAGTCCAAGGGCCGGAGGAGGAGGGCCTCCCACCCCACGGCCGAGTCCTCCAGTGAGCAGGGTGCCAGCGAGGCGGACATCGACAGTGACAGTGGCTACTGCAGTCCCAAGCACAACAAGCAGCCTGCGGCGGGGGCCTTGAGAAACCCTGAGCCCGGGACCACGAGCGTACGTGTCTGCATTGCCCCCCATTCCTCTCCGCGCCTCCACTGCCTTGGGGTTCTTTGCTAAGACTGAAGTAGCTACTTTTGTTAATGCTTCCTAGTGTAATAAGATGGTTAAGAGATTTTACATGTTTTATCAGTGTCCTGGTTACTACTGTTGCTGAGAGAAAATACCCCACACCCAAAGTTAAAGGAGAAAAGGTTTATTTAGCTCCCAGTCTGCAGAGGTTTCAGTCCACAGTCAGCTGGCGCCTAGGCAGTGGCCCGGCAGAGGGGCGTTGCAGAGGAGAAGCAGTCGTGGCCAGGGAAGGCAGCAAAGCAGAGAAGCAGCAGCAGAAAGGGACTGTGGCTCTCTTACTGTCCCTTGTATTCTGTCCAAGCCACATGTCCTTCCGGCGGGTGCACTTACACCCAGGCTGGCCTTCCCATTATCCACATCCAGAACTGTGCCAGCCAGTCAGTGGGCCAATTCAGCAGTCACACACCCTCGGGGTCCAGCTGCCTCTGAAAGCCCCACCTCTGAGCAGGCACCTGGGGCTTTGGGAGGGCATTTAGACACAAGCCGTAACAGTTGGTAATAAAACATTTATGGAGGGTTATTCTTAGATTACCTGAAGTGTGTTTCACACAAGACTAATGGTGAGATGCGTTGCGGAGTATGTTATGTTGGCTTTTAAGTAGAAAGTAATTGTCCCTTTTGTTTCTCTTTCTAGCATGTGGAATCATCTGCATGTGCAGGTACTTATTTTCTGCAGAGTATTTTTGCTCTGTTTTCTTCTTCGTCTATGTCAGAGTTTTTATTTTAAGTATGAGCCTTGCTGGTGCCATTTTTAAAACAAAACAAAAAAAAGGCAAGAAACTACAAATGTTCCAGATTGTCACATTTGAAAGTACAGTTTTGCTAAACAAATGACGAAAATGTCAGCCGGAGGCATCTGAAAGATGACGCCTGTGTCACTAAGAACAGCAGTACCATTTAAAGTTGACACAAAACATTTTTGTGACTTAATTTAAGTAAATGAAATTATGGAGCAATTTAGATTTTGGCTTCTTCTATAAGCAAATCATATCTTTAAATATTTGTTACAGGTGGTGTAAATTGGTCCAATGTAACTTGCCAGGCAACTCAGAAAAAACCTTGGATGGAAAAAAATCAGACATTTTCTAGAGGCGGAAGGCAAACTGAACAAAAAAATAATTCACAGGCAAGTTGAATTAGGTTGGAGAAACTTGGTTAGGTATGAGATGGATTTAAATTTGTTACAGAAATGGTATAGTGATTATGAAGGACAGTGTCAATTTTTGGAGATGCACATTATTTAAAAGTGAACTATCATGATATCTGTAATTTTTTTTTTCTGGTACTGGGAATAGAACTCAGGACATTGCATTTGCCAGGCAGGCACAACACCACTGAGCTAAGTCCCCGGCCTGATATCTGTAACTTTAAAATGCCTTAGGCAATAAAATGAACTTAAATAATAAAACAGAATGGGACCAGGGATTTAGCTCAGTGGTTCCGGCGCCTGCCTCGCAAGCCCAAGGTCCCAAGTTCGATCTCAGGTACCAAAAGAAAAAAAAAGAAACAGAATGGTAAAAAGTTGAATGAATGTGGTATGTCTATTGGTGCCTTTTATACCATTTTTCTATTTTACTCTATAGTTGACTCATAGTTTTAAAAAGAAAAACCTCATGCTACTGCATCTGCTGTATCTTTTTCTTACCCATATAAAATTTTAAAAGCATTTTTGTTGTTGTTTGGTGTTTTGAGACAGGGTCTCCCTTTGTAGTGCAGGCTGGCCTTGAACTCACTGTGTACCAGGCTGGTCCCAAGCTTGAGGGATCCTCCTGCCTCACCTTCCCGAGTGCTGGGATAGCAGGAGTGCATCACCATGCCTGGCTTTGAAAGCATTTAATGCAGAGCAAGTCACTGATGGCTTCCACAGCCCAGGTGCTACCGAGAAAGGACTTGCTGTGCTCCATGCCACTCACCGTGGTGAGGCTGTCGGGAAGCGGGCAGGACAGCTCCCCTCCCTGGGCTCCACTAGTCTGTGAGGCGGTCTCCCTCAGCATTGTTTGGGTGAAAACGAGAGCTGAAGTAGTCCTTCATGTAATGGGGTGCAGTGCACAGAACTCTCCCAGTCCTGCCAGGCTTGGCCTCTGCAGTTGCCCGAGAAGCGGTACTCCTCAGACAAAGCATTCAGGTGATCAAGAAAGGGGTCTGAGAGCGCATGGCGCAGTGCTGGTTTTGTCTGTCTTCACCCGAAAGCGCTGGAGCCAGACTCGGACAGTTTCACTTCAACTTCAGATGCTTTCTTATCTCAGATACTTTCCTTAAGTGGATATTTGTTTGGTTTTTTTGAGATACAGAATTATTTTTTCTTTTAGGTAAAAATGCTTTCCCCTTTTGGAATTTCTGCTTGTTTTTAAGCTTTAAAAGTCTTTTAGAAGTCAAATATTTACCTGTATTTTCTGCTACCTTTTTACCACATAGTTAAATGGTTTAAGAGATTTTTAGCTGAGATTTATCTTGATATGTGATAAAACATTCCAGTGTAGATTTTCAAAGTAATTAACCAGCTGTCTTCTCTTCTCTTTGTCTTCTCTTCCATTTGTTCTCCTAGTTTGTTTTTCGTTGTTCTTTTTTCTTTTTTTTTTTGTACTGGGGATCGAACTCGGGACTTGGTGCTTGTGCGGCAGGTGCCAGAACCACTGGGCTCAATCCCCGGCCCTGCTAGTTTGTTTTTCTATCTCACCATTTGCTAATTCTTTTTTTTCTTTTTTGTTATCAGGGATCTAACTCAGGACCTTGCGCTTGTGGGGCGGGCGGCAGAACCACTGAGCTAAATCCCCGGCCCCATTTGCTAATTCTTATATCCTAAGTGCTATTTCTTGTCTGTTTTGTTCCATTTACCAGATTTTTTACACTTAAACCAGTCTGTTGTGTTATAGTGATTTTAAACATTTTTATCAGTATTTTAACATTTGATAATGTAGGTCATTTCTGTATTCTACAGTAGCGTTAATATGGCTTCATTTTGTGCATAGTGTGAAAAATAGGAGATGAAAAAGATTATGCAGCAAAGCACCTCATTTTTACCTGGCTCCCCTTTTTTCCCCCTGTGCCTTGGCCTGGTCTCCTGCATCCTCTGTCACCATAGAATGAGTCCCATGTTTTGTCCTCTTCTTACATAAAAGGTCGCACATCCTCTCTGTTCTGTGCTCAGTGATAGATCTTGGAGAGATTTGTTATTTCTTTCTTTCTTTTTTTTTTTTTTGAGACAAGGTCTCGCTATGTAGTTCAGGCTGTCCTTGGACTCACTATGTAGCCCAGGCCAGCCTCAAACTCATGGCAATCCTGCTGCCTCAGCCTCCCAAGTGCTGGGATTATGGATATGAGCCTGGCTGTCTTCCTATTTTTGAGTGATCTTTTCATGCTCTTCAGAGGGTTGTAAAGTTGTTAGTATATACTAACTAATTCTTCATGTATCAGTCCCTAGTATTTTTTTATTATATATGGCATATGAAGAGAATCTTAAGAATCTCAGTGTGAGTTTGGAGTTCGTTTCTGCTTTGTTTGGTTCACTGTGCCCACTTTCTGTCAGCAGTACTTAGCAGAGCTTGGCCGTCGTGAGGCTCTGGGCATGTTCCAGAGACGACCAGAATGCGTGCACATTTGGTCCTCGAGAACTTTGCTGTGACCATTAGTCTGGGGACTCTAATTTAGGTCTGAAACTTTTGTCTCCGAGTGAGTGTCAAGTTGCGTTTGCTTTTGAAGAACTATTTTCCAGTGTTTGTAACTTCACCAGTCACACATGCTGACTGGTGTACAGCAGCGAGCAGGGACAGCGTGTGACATGCTGTGTCTGTTTGTATGTCTGGCTCACGGTCCACGGCCTGCTCCTGGCCTGCTTCAGGGGGCTGCTTATCCTTGGAGTGTTGAGGTGACTGTTGAAGAAGTCTGCGTTCCTCAGCCTTGTATTGTCCTTTTTAAAGAGGCATTTCATATCAGCTGCACTGGGTACTTACACGACTGGAAATATCTTAGTGCTTAACAGGCTTTTTCTTGCCTTTATGACCGTTGAACATGTGATAGTTTGTTGGTAGGATGTGTCCGTCATTTGGGCCGCTGCTAGAGAGCGCTGTGGACCTTGGATGTGTGTCTTGAGAGCAGAAACCCTTCCTGCAGGCAGGCAGGCAGGCAGACAGGCCGGTCGGTCGGTCGGTCGGTGTGGAGTGGAGTGGAGTGGAAGAGAGGGCTCGGAGGGGAACGCTCGCAGGTGATCCCGCCTGCCCTGGCCTGCTCTGTCCTGGAGCCCCAGCTCCCAGTGCCATCGCCTCGTGGGTTAGGGTTTCTACACGAGGATTTTGGGGGCTACGAACGTACTCCGTGACATAGGATAATAGTAATGTATGTGACTGCATGAAAATTTTATTTTCTTGCGTCTGTCTTCTTGAAAACAAAACTTTTATTAAATACTTTCCCTCAGAATTAAAGTTTAAAAACCATAGGTAATCGGAAGACGTGATCACTAATTAACAGTCACGTGCAGCTTCCCCGGGTCTCCTTGGGCTCCTGCCAGCGCCTCGCTGGAGCTGGCTGTTAGCTGGAAGTGGCCGGCTGTGGGTGCGGCTGGCTCTGCCCCTGGGGTGGCCTCACAGCCCCGGGCCTCCCCGCTCACCCACGCCCGCTTTCTCTCGAGTCCTTCCGGAGCTCTGCGGAGGCCCAGTTCCCTGGAGACGGGTGCAGGGCTGGGTTCGGCAGCAGAGCCTGGCTCTGTGGCTGACGAGGCTGCCTACCGTGTGCGGGGACCTCAGCTGGTGTAGCTGCCCCTCCACTGCCTGCTCTCGTGAGTAACCTGATAAAAATGTTCATGTACAGGGCGGAAAAGGTAATGTGTATTAATGGCCACAGTTTCATGTTTTCCTTGTAATTATCTTAGGTAAAAAGTTTTAACTTTTTAACATAAATTGTGTACTTTGTGAAAATTCATTGAGTTATATGCGCCTGTGTACTTTTTTGTAAGTGCGTTGCATTTAGATATCTTAGAAGTAGTAAGATTTTCTTTTTCCTTCTGGGGTTTTAGGTTGGATTCAGATGCCGAGGACACAGTACGTCCTCAGAAAGAAAGAATTTGCAAAAGAGACAAGACAATAAGCATATAAACCCCACTCAGTCCCATAGAAGTGACCCAAAGTCTGAGTCTTTATATTTTGAGGTATTTTTTTCAAACTCTGTTTATAAACCATTATAGAAAATGTTCCCATAAGAAACCTAATTTGTTATATTGTAAATGTAACTTTTTATGTATTAACATGTGGCGCTAAAGTTATAGATTATTCAGAACTATTAGCTCATTTTTTTCCCTTGGTTATATTTAGACTAACAACTTCAGTCATGTTTGTGTTTATAAAGTTTTGTCGGGCAGGTTCATTTGGAGGTGCTGTGTACAGGTAAACTTATTCACCTGGACTTCCTCCAGTGTGAGACATTTTTCTCCCTTTTTGTTGTTTTTGGTCCATGCACGAGGCTTTTCAGATTGGCATAGTTCAGTGTAGTTATTTGCGCTGCTACTCAAGAGACTCTGGGAGGAGGAGAAAGAAGACTGTTTTCTGTAAAGGCAGACAGTTACGTCACATGCTCCGCAACGCACCAGTCTGCATTGGCAGCCAGGGGCGGGGGTGGGTGTGTCCCGAGTGGTAGCACACGGTCACCCCCAGGACACTCGACTGAAGTGGAGCTGGGAGCAGAGGCAAGACCACTGGGTCTGTGGCAGGGAAGAACAATATTCAGAATGGCTTTGAACGAACAAGCAGAATTTGGTGTAACAGACATCTCTGGTAACATTTGTGCAACTCATTTTGGTTGGATCATAGATTCTATAAAATAGTTTAATATTTGGAGATTAAACTGGAGAGAAATGGAGAATATGTTAGATGAGCTTCATAGTTGACCCAGGGGACTTAAGTTCATCTCAATCATTCTATCAAGAATAGTTTTAATATCTAGATTTGGCAGTTTTATTAAATACACTTAGCTGTGTGATGGTTCTGTACTTACATTTCATTAAAGATATTAGATATAATTTTCAGTGTAAAGGAGGATGCTGGGTAGGAAATTAATTTGGATAGAAAAGGGTTTTTTTTTCAACTTTTAAACTTTTAACATTCCAATTTTATGTAGTAGTGTGAGATAGGGAATATATTAATAAAATTTATATTAAACTGAAGTCTTTTCCAAATGGCCTGACTGTGATAAAATCTGGTTTGATTCACTCTCAGTTATCTCCTCGTCTTAGGGAAGAATTAGAAATAGAAATGGAAAAGGACCCTGGAATCCAAAGGCTGACATAGGTAGATATGCCTGCATGCTAAACCAATTAAGTTGGCTAGGTTTACACGTGAGAAATGAGGTTTCCTTCTTAAGACTGCTTTTAAATAGTTTAGCAGTAGACTACAAAAAAGTCTCCCCCTCAAAAAAAAAAAGTCTTTCTCTATTTTTTATTGTTTCTAAGCAGTGTAAAAAGTTTTTCTTAGGACTTTACCATGAGCCTTTTTCACCAAACTTCACTTAACATGAACTGTTTCAGGATGAAGATGGGTTTCAAGAACTGAATGAGCACAGCAATGCTCAGGATGAGAATATTCAACAGAAACTCTCTTCAAAAGTAGTAAGTGACTCTTTTTAAAAAGATAAGCAGCGCAGCGTGGTTGCAGGAAACAGTAGGTTTAGCACTTACCTTTAATTTCTTTTTAAGATAGCCAAAATAAGATACTTTCCTGTGAAATTCACAGTCCCAAAACTAGAGAAGAAAATGCCCTTAATTCTCTGCAGAGATTCTTCCGTTGTTAATTTTTCTTTGAAGGATTTTACTTTTCTTCAATCAAGGATCCAGAGAAGCACCACGTGTTGCGTTCTGCTGCTGCTGCTGTCCCTTATTCCCCTGTCTGCAACGGTCCAGCTTCTCAGTCAGGTCCCGCCTTCTGCATCGCCGTTTCTTACCAGGAGCCTTACAAGGTCACTAACAGACGCCTTTCTCTGCCTACCATAGCTGGACGACTTACCTGAAAACTCACCGATCAACATCGTTCAGACCCCGATTCCCATCACCACCTCCGTCCCTAAACGTGCAAAAAGTCAGAAGAAGAAAGCTTTAGCAGCAGCTCTCGCCACAGCTCAAGAGTATTCAGAAATAAGTATGGAGCAAAAAAAATTACAGGTCCGTAGTCATTTCTTTGAGCAGTTGTGATGGTTTATTGCCAGGTTTGGCGGGACAGATAGGAGTCATGGTAACTTGCCACGCTTTCACACTGTGACAGAACGCAAACATTCTCGTATTGACCCTGCAGGAAGCCTTATCAAAAGCAGCTGGAAAAAAAACCAAAACCCCCGTGCAGCTGGATTTAGGAGACATGTTAGCAGCTCTGGAGAAACAGCAGCAAGCAATGAAGGCCCGGCAGATCACCAACACCAGACCTCTCTCATGCACGGGTGAGAGAGGGAGTCTCGGCGTTCCCTGTCTGGCCTTGGCAGTGTGTTGTGGGTATCGTCAGTCTGTGCGTGTGTGTGCATGTGCGTGTGAAGTCGGCTCAAACCACAAGCCTTGAAATTGTCTGTGTCCCTTCTCTGTACATTCAGGCTTCACCATCAGCACATCTGTTCTGCCCTGAAAACCTGTCCTATGTACTCAGCACCCCTTTCCCGGCCCAGCAGTCCCATCAGTGCAGCGTGCTTCTGCCCACTGCCCGCCCTGGTCCCCAGCTGGTCTCAGAAAGAGGGAGCTTTTTGAGGTATGAGCCAGGTTGAATCACCGCATGGCTCAGAACCCTCTGATAACTCCTCGCCTTTTGGAGCAGAGCCAGAGCCCTGCCTGAGGCCACACGTTCCTGTCCCTGTCCCCCTTCTCCCCTGACACTCATGACCCTGCCACGTTAGCGCTGCTGCGTCGTCACCCCCCTCCCCCACACTCTAGCCATCATCTCAGCTCGCTCTTCCTTTCCTGGAGTGCGGCTTCCCTGGAAGTCAGCATTGTTTGTTCCCTCGGTCCCTCAGGTCTCTGCTTAAACGTCCCTTGGTGTGCATTTTGAACCAACCCTATTTTTTTCTTCTTCAAAGGTTAAAAGAAAAATCAAGCGATTTGGCTCTCTTAATTGTTCAGTGACCCAAATGAAAGTAAATGGCAGCAGAAGTTGTGATCAAACTGTGCGTGCATGTGTGTGTGTGTGTGTGTGTTTGTGTGTGTGTGTGTGTGTGTATGTAGAGAATGACCTGGCTTTGTCCTGAGACAGCGATTACTGTTCTAACAAACCTTGGCAGATTTAGTGTTCTCCACAGTCCTAATGCACTCACTGATTTCCTTAGTCTTTGTTTTAGTGGTTGAGGAATAGGGTAGAAGGAAAGGAAAGACATCAATAAAAAGCACAGATACTGAGAGGCAGGTTGGATTTCCTGTCTGTTCTGTTCCCATGTAAAGGGACTGTTGATTGGACGGGAAGATAAGTAGCTGTGTATAACTGTAAGCTTATGTGCTAAGTCTTTACATCTGTAGCTAGCTACCAATCCAGTATAAACTGCACAGTGACTTACAAAAGGCAGTATGGAGTGTGTGCCAAGCCTCAGCGTGTGCGGTTGAGATGGGCATGCAGCAGTGCCCTCTGTCTTCCCAGGTGAGGGGCCCTGGCCTGGTCGCTAAAGCAAGGGGCTAGGGGTGCAGGGCGTGTGAGTTTGCAACCTGCTCTTCCCTATGTTTCTTTGGGAAGTTGCCTGGCTTTCCTGTGCTTCTGTTCCCTAACAGGAAATGGGGGTGGTGACAGCACCTCCCTTTTGGAGGGGAGAGAATGGGAAGATGTGGGTGCAGCACCCGAGAACCTGGGCTCTCAGCTCCTGTGAATGATACCATGGGGGTGCAGAGCTGGGTAACCTGTCTTGTCACTTCAGTTTTGATTCATTTACAGATGCTAACTTATGAAAGTATGAATACGCATCTCTGTGTGCAGAGTGTTCTGTTAGGAGCTGTTGGGATTACAGACGTGGTCAAAATACACTTTTGTTCGAGAGGTTTACAATCTGGCGGGAGAGGAAGACACATGGAGGGAGACAGCTGACCAGACCAGTACCCGAGGAAAGTACGGGCAGAGTGCCTGGACTGGCAGGAGAGAGTGATTTCTGTGACGGGGAGGTGGGGAAGGGTTAGAAATGAGTGCGTAAGATGCCATTGGAATGGGCTGCGGAGGGAGTGTGTATGCTTGACATGGAGAAAGCAGGAAAAGTGTAGGCTTGAGGCCAGCCTGAGTAACTTACTGAGACCCTACCTCAAATAAAAAGTAACAAAAGGGCTGGGGGTGCAGCCTCGTACCAGGAGAGGGAAGAGGAAGAGGAGAGAGTGAACTCAGCACATCATCAGCATTTAAAGCAGAAAGTGTGGATTTTAAAGAAAACTATTTCGAAGTTCAAGAAAAAGAGAATGTGGTTCCAGTTGCAGAGGTGTAAGCAACGGGTAGGGTTATGCGGGTGGGGCGTGGGGACCAGCCACAGATCACACCCCGTGCCTGGAGCGTGTGGTGCGGAGGAGCTGGCCCCAGAGGAGGAAGGGCTGAGGCCCGGCCCGGCCCGTGGTTGCCCGTCCCTGTGCAGTCCTGGATGTGGGTTAGTGCAGTCGTCACCAGGTGTCTGGCCGCTGTGGCATCAGGGAAAGGGTACTCTGGGGTAAAACCGTAGGATGTTCAGATTCCAGGACCAAAACAAGAAGAACCAGGAAAAGCTGACTTGGGGCCTGGACTCCACTCAGTGGTCAGGGCTTGCCTGGCGTGCACAAGCCCTGGGTTGATTCTCAGCACTGTGAGAGAAGAGACTGGAACGTCACAGAGGGCAGGGAGCGGATTTGCAGTGGGGCTGCACCTGCTGTCAGATGCCAGAGCGAGCAGGGAGGTGTGCAGATGCATTCTCCTGGGCGTCCAGGCCATGTGTGTTGTGGACCGGGACAGTGTCAGGAGCAGCCTGCGGCGGAGGCCGGGTTGCAGAGGGGTCTGCGCCTCCTCCCCTGCTAAGGGGACAGGCGAGGTCACCTGCTGCAGGACGTGGAAGGACACTCAGAAGTGCTCTCAGAGTGGTGCCAAGAGTCAGCTGAGGATGGGCCGCCACTCTTCATCCACAGGACAATGTGAGGAGAGGGAGCTGGGGCGTGGCGGCACAGCCCTCTGGGACGCAGAGGCAGGAGGATTGAAAGTTTGAGCCCAGCCTGAGGGATGTAGCTCAGCGGGAAGACCGGGGCCGATCTCTAGTATCACCCCTCTGAAAGGGGTGACAGCTGTGAAGGTGTCTGTAGAGAGAAATAAATAGCAGGCTGCGTAGCAGTCGGAGAGGTGCCGAGTCTGGAAACCTCGCAGTAGAATGGTTCCAACGGAAGCCAAGTTGCAGGACTCCCATGCCGGCAGAGTGGAATCAGGACGCTGGCCCGTGGGCAGGGCTGTGTCAGGGGCGCCGCCCAGCTGGCCCTGCTCTCCTCTCTCCCAGTGTCTGCTTTTTCCACGGGAAGGGGATGTTTTTATAGATTTATCATTGGGAAGTTTGAAAGTACGTGGAGCTGGCTGTGCAGTAAAATTGCAGTAGTAATGTTCTTGTTTGTTTCTAGTGGTTACCACAGCTTCTTGCCACACTAAAGACTCTACTACCAAAAAAACTTTAACCAAAAGTCAGCCCTGTTTGACATCCTTTAATTCTTTGGAGATTACTTCCTCTAAAGCAAAAAAAGGGAAAGAGAAGGAAATTGCAAAGCTTAAGCGACCCACAGCACTTAAAAAGGTAAACCAAATCTGTAATCTTTTGCCTTATGGGATATATGAAAGGCTTAAGTCTGTTTTTCCAGTTGAGTTGTGGTGTTTTAGCCACCAGACTACTGTGAAGTATTCATGGATGTGCATCTTTATAGTGAGTAGTTAATTCAAAATGGGCATATCATCAGCATTATGATGGCCTTTCTGTCTAGAACAAGGTCCTAGAGAATGAAGTTTTTCTATAAGGTTTTAAAAAAACCTCTTAAACATTTCATATCCAAAAGCCCTGGATTTGGTTGGTTGTTTTCGCTTGTTTGTTGGTTTTTTGGTCTTGTTTTGTAGTCCTGGGGGTTGAACCTAGGGGCTCAACCAAGTCCAGGCAAGCATCCTGCAGATGAGCTACAGCCCCCAGCCCAGCTGTAGATCTTAGTACAAACCTCATTGCATGCTGTCCACTGTACATAGTTTAGCCAAACATTTTTATCCTCTTCTTCGTTACCTGTAAACTGAGGATGAGCTACATGCTCGGTCAACTCCCAGTTCTTAGAATGCAGTAACCCATGTCTACATAGTTGAAAAGTGAAATGTAAATCAAATGAACTCTTACATCATTTTTTGGAAATTCAGTTTATCAAATAAGATTTAAAGAATGAAGTACAGTAGATGTGATTTGATATTGTCTATTCTCAAGCCTCTCTTTATTTTGGTACCGTATTTTCTTCAGCTTCCGGTGCCTGAACTTACTTTATCATTTTGGGGCCAGTTTCTGCATAGCCAAGCAAACACACAGCCACCTACAATCCCCGGGTCTGCATTTGTGTGTAGGACCACACCTCTGTGTCAGATACAGTGCACCATGACTTATGACCTTGATTGGTTCCTGAGGGCTGGTTGTTAACTCAAGTTGGTTGTAAGTCAGTATAGCTGAGATCTGGACACTCACCTGGGTACATGCCATAGATAACAAGAGGCAGATGAATCTTCTATTCACCTAACCCAAGTTGTTCATATGTCAGGCTGGTCGTAACTTGAGGGTCTGCTGTACGTTGCAGTTGTCTACTACAGGGTTGAAGAGCGATCAGTTAAGACTGCTGTAATGACTTTCAGGTTATTTTGAAAGAGAGAGAGGAAAAGAAGGGCCGTTTAGCTGTGGACCACAGTCTTTTGGGAGCCGAGGAGCCGACAGAAGCACCTTTAGATTTGATGGACGACTCTCCGGAGGAGGGCCCCTCCCAGGAAGGTAAGGACTGGGGCCCCCAGGGCAGTGCAGCCTCGGGGCTGGTCCTCACATAGAACGTGTGACACCATTCATGGATGTGAGGACTAGAAACGGGCCCCAGAAGCATGAAGTTAGCCGGGTGTTTGACCATTTTGGAAACTAACACGACAGCGTCCGCTTTGATGGAAGTGGTTGCGGTTCTTAGTTCTCCAGGTGCTGGTCAGAAATGTTTGCCCTAATTGCACTCTTTGTGTACTGCACTGGTACTCCTGTCCCAGTGCACTTGCTGCCAAAGGGCAGTGTTGGGCTTTAGTCTCGGGGGGCTCCCTCCTGTGAGTGACCCTGCGCTGCAGCTCAGGCCTGCCAGAAGGACGGCTCACCAAGGTGGGGGAGAGAGACACACACAGACACACAGACGCACAGCAGTGCCTTGAAGGTGTGATTGGGAGGCAAGGATGGTTTCCTCTGGGAAGCCTGGTCTTACAAATGTCCACTGAAGGGACAGGGCCAAAGTTTTGAGTTGATTGATTGCAAATCTGTACCTTTCAAAAATGAATAAGCAACCATTTATTTTTCTAGTATTAGTGGTATTATGTATGTAATTATAACAACATGACCAAAAACTATTCAGTGCATTTTTTTGTGCTTTCTGTACTACACCACAGCTAGTAGAAACATTTTAAGTTACTATTTTACAAAACAAGGCCAAGTTCAATGAAGAAAAGAACCTGTGCAGCTGCCGTTGCAGGCGCACAACGGAGAGGTGGGGAAGCTGTGTGCGCAGTCTCTTCGTCCTCCCGGCCGGGCCGGGCGGCACCACACTCAGCATCTGACCCTTCCACTTTCAGTTCTGCTGGCCGGGTGCAGGGTGGAGTGCCGCTGCCTGCACCCGCCCCGCAAAGCCTCCTGCTCTGGACTGTGTGGTCACAAGGTGTCCCCAAGCATGGAGTCGCAGGCTGACAGTCCGGAGGGGTCGCCGCACCAGCTGGCCAGGCCCACACTCAGCCCCTGAGCCGGGAGCTGGACACTCTTGGCTCAGCGTTTGGAAGGATAGGGAAGCCGTCACTACTTCCGCTAATTGGAGGTTGAGCTCCATATTTTATGGAATTTTCTTTAGGTTTGAAAGTGGTTTCTTCTCAGTGTGCTTTGGCAGGGAGATGGCTAACGTGGGGCGCGTGTTTCATGGTAGGTGTGTGTTCCCTTGGAGGCTTCAAGCTGGAATTGTTACAAACCTTCAGAGTTAAGGTCTCAGCTGGGCCTGCTGGTGCGTATGTGATCCTACTGTTCAGGAGGCCAGTGTGGGCTACACACTGAATTCAGGGCCAGCCTGAGCTGTGCAGTGAGACCCTGTCTCACCCCTACCCCCGAGAGAAAATAGAGCAAGATGGGCCGGGGATTTAGCTCAGTGGTTTCGCTGCCTGCTGCGCAAGCGCAAGGACCCGAGTTTGCTCCCCGGTACCAAAAAAAAAAATAGAGCAAGACCCTGTCTCAAAAAAAATTAAGAGCTCAATAGTACATGAGCTCACTTCTGGGACTCATGATTCTTTTTATTTTGTCCTACATCTGGAACAGTATTCAGTACCTTTCTTTATAGGGGTCTTCTTCATTGAGTCATTTTGTTGATTTTCTTTTTTGCTTTTGGGAAATTAATACATATGCACAGTGAGCATAGAATTACAAGGCAGAGCATAGTTGGTTAATAAAGATTTCACCCCAGTCAGCAGTGAGCACATATGATTCCAGCAGAGAAGATTCAACCCAGATGGTAAGTACCCAGCACACACAGTCTGGTACGTTTAAGTCTGATTTATACATAGATTAAGCAGCGTTGTTTCCCTATTTTTAGGAAAGTGCATTCACCTCTAAGGGTCATTCACCTAGACATGTTAGGTGCAGATTCCCCTTTATTCTCAACCTAATAGGACCCCCTTAATTCGTGTGGATCCATTCTCCACAGGGTGCAGTGAATGTCTCCCACGTGTGCGTAGTAACCAGTGGGAGTGGGGAGGTGGGTTCCTGCCATCACGAGCTCACAGTCCAGCAGGAGGGCAGGGAGGTGTGTTGCTTTGCAGACAGGAGCTCCCGGCCTGAGTTTGGCTGTTCCAGGAAGAAGCGTAACTGAGGGGCTGACACAGTAGTCCGGAGACGGTGGCCTGAGCTGGCTGTGGAAGCCTGCAGGACCAGGAGGGGTGCAGGGCGCAAGCAGGAAGACTCTGTCCGAAGCTAGAAGAGAAAGGAGAGATTGCTGAGAAGTAGGTGGGGAAGCAGAGATGATAACGCCATAGTAACAGGGTAGGCCTTTGTTCTCAGTCAGTAGATGTGCTGCTGAAGCCAGCACCCTTGTTCTTAACGACATCCCCTGGAAACACATGTGGATAATTTCGCTTGTTCTCATCTCTGGAGACTTCCAGGCTTTGCTTGTTTTTTTCTCTTTCTGTTTCTAAGGTATAATTTAGTAGATATTAGGAAGTCTTAAATTTTGTGGAGTATGAGAAGTGTTTGTTTGTGATAGGAAAAATGCCCAGCTCGTTAGCTTGTGACCCAAAGACAGCTGCGGTTTGGATTGTGTGAGTCAGCACGGTGCTGTCCAGCCTTTCAGTCTGGATTCTTTCCCCTGTCCCCTGTCTGCACAGATAATGGACTGAGCATGCCCAGCGATACCTCGCTCTCCCCAGCAAGTCAGAACTCTCCGTACTGCATGACGCCCGTGTCCCAGGGCTCTCCAGCGAGTTCCGGCATAGGCAGCCCAATGGCATCATCCACAATAACCAAGATCCACAGCAAAAGATTTAGAGAGTAAGTTTTCCCCACATCCCTCAGATTGCGCAGTGTAAGAGTCTTGATCATAGTTGTGAATTGTCATCGTGCCCTGGCGAGGTGAGCTGCCAGGTGGGGTGCCCAGGTCCTTTGACTGTTGAACAGCGGGCTTTGTTATGTATGGAGCGTTCTCTTCTTCAGCCTTGGGGCAGGGCTATCGAACAATGAATGCACTCGCTATCCATCAGTGTTTCTGTTCAAGAAACCTGGCCTTGTGCATCTTAGATATGAAATGTTATTCTATGTGTTCTTCCCTTTTTAGATGCTTCTGCTTTGTGGAATATATTATTGGACCTTTAAAAATCCCTCTGACCCATTAATAACATGAACGAGGCTTCTAAGACCTTGTTACGTGAAATGCGCCTACTACATAAAGCTTTTTATTGTATTTTCTTTCAACCCAGGGCCTTGCACTAGGCAAGAGCTCTACCACTGACCTGCACACCAACTCAAACTATTTGTTTTTAAGCTGCTGAGTTTTAGAATTGAGATAATTAGTCACACAATATGATATCCCATCTGTGAATCACCTTTAACAGTTATTGCTGTGAAATATTTTAGGAATTGTAACATTTGTGTGGTGAACTGGTTTTCCCTTTAAAAATGACATACAAAGGAATCCCAGGGTGAGAGTGTGTAGAATTTGTGAGAGTCCAAACCATGTTGGTTCTGTTCCTTTTCCTTATTCCATTGTTTTTGTGTGAATACTTCTTGCCTAGCTTTGAGAAGTTAATTAAATGTCAAATAACAGATGTGGAGCCACTGAAGGATAAAATGTTACATATATCTGAAATAGCTTGAAAGGAAAAAGGAAGACAATTGTGTTGCTGATGTTCTAATTTTGAATACTGTATTACAGTTCATCCTTTCCCAGCCCGTCCAGTTATACCTTCTCTTCTGAATTAGTGCCATACTTTTATGTATTTAAGCGTTGTTCACAAAGACATTCCCAGCACAGTGTTTTTTGTAATGAAGAAAGTCAGGCCTAGATTTTCCCAGCATAAAACTTAAAAATTTGAATTTGCTTGCCTAGTTATTGCTAGATAAAGTTAACCAAGTCTCCTTGTTTAATACCTGCTTATGGTGAAGATGAAGGATGAGGATGAAAAAAGATGGGAAGAACATACAGAAATCAGGGCCGTGGGTGACTTTCTCCTTGGAGAGTCAGGGTCACAATGACCTCACACCTGCTGCCTTCCTGCTGTTCACAGCATAGCTGTCCGTGACTCACAGAGGGCCCTTTCAGGAGCTTTGTCTGACATACAAGCATGTGACTTCCACCTCAAGGCCTCCTTCCTTGGTTTGGGCTTTAGTTGAACTGTTGAGTTCATCCTCCAAAGCTCTAGTTTTCAGAGGCCTCTTCCTAATACTTTGTGGTTGAGAAATGCTCGGAAATTGTCCAGGCTTAGAGGGTGGAGGGTTGGTGTTGAGACATTCAGTTAGAAGTTGTATTTCTTTCCTACCAGAAGCACCTTTAGAAGTCATTGGAATGACATAACTTTGTATCTTTTTTTTCTTTTTTTTTTGGTACCGGGGATCGAACTCGGGACCTTGTGCTTGGCGCTTGTGAGGTAGGCAGCAGAACCACTGAGCTAAATCCCCGGCCAACTTTGTATCTCTTTACCAGAAACATTTTATTTGTTTTTGTCTCATAGCAGGGCAACATTTGGCTTTAGAAATTTAATAATTGGGAGCTTAGGTAGTACTTCCCTGAAGTTGACCTATTCTTTACTAAAAGCCGGATTGTTGATATTCAGTAAAAGGTAGTCTGTACCACTCTTCTGTTTTTCTACCCACCTGGAGAATTTAGAATTTTCGAGGACTTGACTTTCCACAGAGACCTCTTACTGGATGTACTTTCTCATAAAGACATTTTCCTGATGTCCTTGTGTAGCTGCAGGAGCATGCTTTGAGAGGAATCAGCTGTTGTTCCCTCACAGGTACTGCAATCAGGTTCTCTCCAAAGAGATCGATGAGTGTGTGACGCTCCTCCTCCAGGAGCTGGTCAGCTTCCAGGAGCGGGTCTACCAGAAGGACCCCACGCGGGCCAAGGCCCGGCGCCGGCTGGTCATGGGGCTGCGGGAGGTCACCAAGCACATGAAGCTGAACAAGATCAAGTGCGTCATCATCTCTCCCAACTGTGAGAAGATTCAGTCCAAAGGCATGTACACTCTGCTTCACCCTGCTTCTGCCCCACTCTGAGGCCTGCTTGATGGAATTGCAAGAGATTTTTAAATTAAAGAAGCATCTGCTCTGAGGAGTATAGTTTTAGAACAAAATATTGTGCTTGAGAAAAGAAAACGAAATCTTTCAATACCTCAGATGAGGTAGGATCATTGAGATTGGATCGTAAAACCCTCGTGTTTTAATACTGGTGAAGGGTTTCCCCTGGGTCTGTCCAGTGTCCCCTCGCTGTGACCAGAGTAGGGGCCAGTCAGGCTGCGTTTCTTTATCTCTGATACATCTGCCTTTGCATTTCTTATGTTACCTTTCTTTGATAGCCCTCTCCTCTTGAAAAGTTGCAAGGGTCTGTGCCCCACTTGTAGAATAGATTTGTGTCCAAAGTTAGCAGTCCCATGCGGAGGCCCCATGCTGTGACACTTGTCCTCATTGGTCTTTTTCCCCTGAGCAGCCACTTGAGGTGGCCTGGGCGAGACAGATGCACCATGTAGCCCTGGAGAAGTCCCCGCGTAGCCAGCTGCGTGTGCTCTGTGCCCTGCACTGTGTAGATCACTACCTGAGCCGAAAGGTTAGAAAAAGAAGTTAGGTGCTATTAACAATTTTAAATAATTTCTTCATAATGCTTGTTAAATTGTATATACATATTTATCCATATACACATTTTTACTGTGGTACTGGCGTTTGAACGAGGGACCTTTCCAGTGAGCTAATGTATGTCCTCAGCCCTTTATGTTTTACTTTGAGACGGAGGTCATCACTGAGTTGCCCAGGCAAGTTCGAACTTGGGATCCTCTTGTCTCAGACTCTCAGAGTGCTAGGATTACTCACAGGCCTGGCTTACCTTGAAAGTTTACTCCTACTCTGCTGATCACTATGGAAAGACAAAAGTTCTGGTGTTGAAGAAGTTGGGAATTTTAGTTGGGGAGAGAGCAAGCTGCATATCTGTGTGATACACCAGCAGGAGGCCGTCCATGACAGCCTTGGTGCCGTGGGCATCCGTTGACTCCTCTGCTGCGGCCGGTGCTGTGGCCGAGCCGTGGCCGGGTTGGCTCCGCTCGCTGAGGAAGGGACTAACTGGAGCGTCCATGTGCTGCTCCCTCAGGTGGCCTGGACGAGGCGCTCTACAATGTTATAGCCATGGCACGGGAGCAAGAAATCCCTTTCGTGTTTGCCCTTGGGAGGAAAGCTCTAGGGCGCTGCGTGAACAAGCTGGTTCCTGTCAGTGTAGTGGGGATCTTCAACTACTTCGGTGCTGAGGTGAGAATTTCGGGCCGTGCTTACTCTCGCTCCCCCACTTCCACACGGAGCGCATTTTCTGTTGACACATGGCAATTCTGTGCTAAAGTGCTTAAAGTGAATGAGGACTCAAAGGGTTAATGGAAGCTCTTGAGCATTGTATTTCCTTTGTAGTGGTGAAAACATTGACATAGGTGAACCCTGCAGCTTTTGAAAGGCTTAGTTTCCTATTTGTGCCGTAGTGGTTTTTGTCTTTTATGCTCAACTGTGTAGTACTTGGTAATTTATTTAACTGCTAATTGAAGATGGCCAATATAATATAATGCAAAATAATTTCTTTAGTCTTTTTTTTAGTCTACATTTTGTTTTCTAGGAGTCGAGAAAAACAAATTCTTTAATTGAAGGAATTATCCTTTAGAAAATGAAAGGCCTGCACCTATTTGGCAGAATAGATCGCACCCATAACACCTGCTCCTCTGGCAGTTGGCTAGCACAGCTTGCCATAGGCAGTGACACCATGACAGTGATGCCTGTAGGCCCACCATATTTCAAGGGCTGTTTGTTATGAAGTTGATTCCCAGCTACTTTGTGAGATCATTGGCAGGCCATTTCCTCTCTTCCCAGATGTCTTACTACTTTTCTAGTTGCTGGGACAGAATACTCGGCACCCAAAGATAAAGGAGGAAAGGTTTATCCTGGTCACAGTTTGTAGAGGTTTCAGTCCATAGTCAGCAGGCTCCAGGGCCCGGCAGAGGGTGTGGCAGAGCAGAAACAGCAGGCAGGAGGCAGAAACCAGCAGCAGTGGCCACCTGGCTTCTTTCTGCTCCTGTGGGTTTTATCCAGGCTGTACTCTGATTGATACCACCCACACCCAGGGTGGAGCTCCCATTATCCACATTCTTAATCTCCATATCACACCTTTACTCCACATCCTCACACCGTAATCCCACCACCTCTAAAAAGCCCCACTTAAGACCACATAAGGCTTTGGGGGAAAATCTAGACACTAGCTATAACATTCTGCTCCTGGACCCCAAAAGGTTTATGCCTGTCCCTTTACACAGAAGGCATTGAGTCGGTCTCTAGGAGTTGCCAAAGTCCTAACAGTTTCAGCATCGCTGAAAAGTCCAAGTCCAAAGTCTCCTCTGAGATTTAAGGCAAACTCTTAGTTTCGAGCCCCTGTATAAATGAAAAGAACGTTAAACTCTTGGCCGGGGATTTAGCTCAGTGGTTTTGGCGCCTGCCTCTAAACCGCAAGATCCTGAGTTTGATCCCCGGTACCAAAAAAAGAAAAAGAAAGTTAAACTCTTCCAACATAGAATGGCACAAGATAAACATTCCCATCCCAAATAGGGGTATAGAAAGGAATGGGACCAAAGCAAGTCTAAAATCCAGCCAGGCAAACATTAAGTTCCATGTCCAGCATCCAGGGGCAATCGGTGGCAAGATGTGAACTCCAGAGGGCTTGGGCAGCTCCGTCCCTGTGGGACTTCTGTTGGTTTTGGCTCCCATGGCTTCTCTCTTGGGCTGGCTTTGCTCATTCTTTGTAGCTTTCCTGAGGTGATCCACGCTCCTGGCTTCTCCAGCCTTCTGGAGTTTTCACAGCACCTTCGGCTTTACACTCAAGCTTCACACACTGTCCTCTCAGGGAAACCCTGCCTGGCCCCCAGACTTCCTTCTGAAATCTGAGTGGAAGCCTTCCTGACCCCACAACTTTTGCATTCTGCATGCGCCTAAAACCAGTGCCATGTTGATGATGCCAGGGTCTGCCGCCACCTGGACAGTAGCCAGGCTTCCTTCTCTCTTGGGTGTAGGGGTCGAGTGCTTGGATTGCTGAACACTGTGAACCCAGTCCCAAGGAACAACTTTGTATGCAACCACCATTCTGGAAAATGGTGCTCTGGGGCTTTCTTCTTAAAGCAAAGTCTTTCACCTTTGCAACTCTGAAGCTGCAAAGGGTGGAGTCCTCTATTGTCCTATTCCTTCTTAGCATCCAGTTTCTCCTCTGTTCCATATTTGCAGTCCAAAACTTTAACAGAGCTTTTGTGGCCTAACTCAAAGCATTTTAAATCATTCTGCTGGGCTCTTTGCTCTTGATTCTCGATACAGATTGGGCTAAGAGCTCCCGACAGTAGCCATGCCACCACCTCAACATTAGACTTCCTTAAAATTTCTTCTACAAGATTAAATTAGTGCACTGTCCTTAATCCCAGTTTTAGGCAAAGTCTCTGAACACAAGCGAAATGCAGACACATTTTCGACCAGAGCATAACACACGTGATCTGGAGTCCAGTAGCCAATTTGGTCCTTCCCACCAGAAACCTCCTGAGTCTGGTGTTTACTGGCGGGGTTTCTGTCAGCATTCTGGTCTTGTGAGCTCCTTCCCACAGCATCCCAGACCTCCCTGAGGGCTTTTCATGTTCTTCCCGAGGGTGACCGCCCTGCCACAGGACACCATGGCCTAGTGCATCCCAGTACCGCAGCATCCAGCACAATCGCTTCCTTGCACGCCTCCCCACTCTGCACCCGAGCCAAATGCTCTGCTTTCCTTCTGTCTCTGCCTTTCTTCCTGGTTGTGGCATTTCGCTCAGCATGCCCTGGCTTCACTTTCATGTTGTCCCTGCTTCTCAAGGCCTCTGCAAGGTGTCATCTTCTTTCACCAGACCCTCAGTCGTCGGCTGGTCTAAAAGCCACGGCACACACTGCCCCTCCAAGGCATGCAGGGCACAAGGGCCTGAACTCCGCCTGCCGTCTTCTCTGGCCCACCAGCACGAAGCAAGCCAGTCCGAAGCTGTGCCCTGCCAGACACATGAGGAGAATGCGCCTGCTGAGTCCATAACTCCCAGGAACTTTCCTACATGACACGCAGTGGCTAGGGTTAGCATCCACTGTCCTCAGGCTTGGGAAAATCAGATAAACAACAGCTCAGAGTGTTTTGTAAGGTTCTGTGGTTTGCATTCAGATTTTGAAATACGGTAGAGATATTTATTGCTAAAAACAGGAATAAAACACATTTCTGAAAACTTGACCCACACCCTCATTTCTGTGCAGAGCCTGTTTAATAAGTTGGTGGAGCTCACGGAGGAGGCCAGGAAGGCGTACAAGGACATGGTGGCGGCCATGGAGCAGGAGCAGGCCGAGGAGGCCTTGAGGAACGTGAAGAAGGTGCCGCACCACATGGGCCACTCCCGGAACCCGTCCGCAGCCAGCGCCATCTCCTTCTGCAGTGTCATCTCGGAGCCCATCTCGGAAGTCAACGAGAAGGAGTACGGTGCGTGTCTCGGCCCTTTCCCGTTGTGTTCTTGCGGTGCTGGCAGGCAGCCACTCTGAGGTCTCACGCCAGGTGGGCAAGCACCCTGCACCGAGCTGCTTCCCAGCCCTCTGTATTTTCGCTTTGAGACAGGGTCTGGCTCGCTCGCGTTCCCCAGGCTGGCCCCCAACTTGAGACCCTCCTGCCTTGGCCTACAGTAGCTGGGATCCTGGCTTGTTGCACATCATTCTAAATGGCTTAAACTTTGAAATAATTTAAGTGATTAAAATCATTTTGTAAATAACTTTCCACTCCACCTTTTTTTTTTGGTTTTTGGGGGTTTTTTTCCTAATTTTTGAGTTTGGGTCACACTATGTAGCCCAGACTGGCCTTGAACTCACAGCAATCCTCCTGCCTCAGACTCCTGAGTGCTAGGATTACAGGCATGCACTGCCACACCCAGATTTTATCCTTATTTTTTTTTGATTATTCAAAATTTGCTCAAAATCTTGGCTTAAACAATTACGTTAAAGATGTTCTTTAAAGATTAGACTATTTGGGAGTGAAACTTCCTATGAGATCCTGGAGTTTAATCATAGTTCCAAAATCTTAAAAAAGGCCCAGGGAGTTCTGAAAAACAGAATGAACTGTACTTGTGGCATATCACTAAGGAAATACCAGAGAATTTTTTTCTGCCAGGGTATGCTGAATGTGAATATTTTCTGTCTGCTGAGTAAGTCGCAAGCCTGAACTCCCATCAGTCTGATGCTGTAAGGTGGGGCCGTGTGACAGCTGCTTCATGCCCGCTCTGTAGTCAGAAAGAGAGGCCAGAGCATCGTTTGTGTGAGCTCTGACGTCACTCCCTGCTGCCTGCCCGAGGTTGTCGGCCTGGCTTCCCTCCTGCCTGGAGCTTTCTGTCCTCTCTCCCTTCCTTTCCCGTCCTTTTGGGCTCCTCGTTCTTCCTTTGGGCTGTAATCCTCCCGGCCGCCGGCCTGCTTATGGAGCAGTTTGCTGCCCCCACCCGGTGACGCCCTCTTCTGTGCACCCCTCCCGCTCCAGGCTCCAGACAGAGGCGGTGGCAGGTGGCAGCCCGAGTGGCCTTGCTTGTGGCTGGCAGTGTTGCTGGCTATAGGCGGGTGGGCATGTTTCTTCTGCTCGAGGGACACCTCGGGGAAGGAATGCAGCAGAGAGGGAGCGCTGACTTGGTCTCTGAGAGCAGCCCTTGCTGTGTGGTGAAACGCCAGGTGACAAAAGTGAGGTCCATCTCCAGAGCTCCGGGCTGAGCCCGGACGGTCTCTCTCAAGTTCAGGCCCAGCCTGGGCATCTTAGTGACCGAGTGCAGCCGGGCCTCAAACAAGAAAGGGCTGGGGACAGAGCTCGGTGCGAAGGCCCTGGTTCATTGTCCCGTACCGGAAAAAAGAGAAAGGAAGGGAAAGTGGGGTGTGAGCAGAAGCCAGTGTAGGTGGCCTTCAGGTGGGCACATGCAGAGCAGAGGGTGGCCTGGGGACTGGTGCCGCATGGAGGCTCAGGTGGGGTCGGCGCCCTGCCCTGCCTGCGGCGGCTTCGAAGAACGAGTCATCTCCGGACCCCACATTCCCCCAGGAAAAGCCTTGGGTGGAAATATGAACGTGCCTCTGAAGCTTGAGCACTTGAAAGCGTCCTTTGTATGATCAGGAGGGTGAGCGTTTTCATCCCTACCTGTGTTCTCAGCTCTTTGCTCAGCGAGCATGGGCCCCGATGAGCTGGCCAGGCTGAGGGCTGGGCGGAGGCGGCCATGGGGCGCAGGCGCAGGGTCCGGGCATCCTGGGGCGGGGTCCACGCCCAGAGCACCGCTCCCGCTCCCCTGTGAGAGGGCCTGGGTCACGGAGGGAGGGCTGGCGGGAGGGCTGGCCGTGCCTGGCTGAGCGGGTGGGCGGAGCCTCGAGGGAGAGGACAGGAGACGTAGGGGCCCAGGCGGGAGTGGAGGACCCGTCTGTGCTGGTGCAGCCCGGGGTGGTGCTGAGGCTGAGGCCGTTCATGGAGGCGGCTTCTTACTTCAGCACAGCCCGGTAAGATGTTGTCCCTGTAACTGTGAATGATAGCACTGATCAGCTGAAGAGTCTTAAAAACCTCCAGACAGGTGGCACAGCCGTTTCCTCTCCTGATTCCCACCACCTTTGTGTGCTCTGCATCGATGTTGTGCCATGACAGATAATTTTAGATTGTCACCGCTGTGTCACGTGCAGCTTCTTTGGTCCTTCTGAACCCGTGTGAGCTAAGCTACATGTGTTTCAAAATGAACATGCCCAGATGTTAGAAATGCTGGCCCGGTGTATTGCCTAGAAATGGGTACACGGCTGGAATCATAGCTGAGGTAACCTGCTACCTGGACGGACAGGGACTTGGCAGGTCAGAACGCCTTTTGCCGGGCGTCTCCGCTGTGCCGTGTGGCCTCGGCACACCCTAGGTCACCAGAGCCCTTGACGACTCTGCTGCTGGCCGAGGCCATGCGGGTTTCATATGTGAACCGGAGAGGGCTCCTCTTACGTGAGAGCTTTTGCTTTCTGATGCATTAGCATGTGTCTGTCTCCTTGTTTCTTTGTTTTGAGTGCACATTTTGGAGAATTGTTTTCCCTTCATAACATTTAAGCTAGTACAATAATAAACTAAAATTTGGATTTTTCCAACCAGTGGTGGGCCAACAAATTTCTGGGTCTTTCTTCCATCTTACTTTTGGGTTTTTCAGTTTTATGACTCTGAAACCGTATTCTGCTGTGTAAAAATGTGTTTGCAATTTGTAGAGACAAATTGGAGAAACATGGTGGAGACCTCTGATGGGCTGGAGACGTCGGAAAACGAGAAGGAGGCTTCCGGCCCACGGTGTGCTTCTGAAAAGCCCGGCTGCCCGCCGCCTGCCCCTGGCCCCACAGGGAAGCAGCCGGCCCTGGCTCTCCCAGCCTTGGGCAGCGCCGCCTCAGGGCCCGGCCCGGGAAAGGCCCAGGCCAGCGACAAGGAGGAGGTGAGGCCAGACGACCTGGAGTGGGCCTCCCAGCAGAGCACGGAGACCGGCTCCCTGGACGGCAGCTGCCGGGACCTGCTCAACTCGTCCATCACCAGCACCACCAGCACCCTGGTGCCCGGCATGCTGGAGGAGGAGGACGCCGAGGACGAGGACGAGGATGACGAGGAGGACTACGCCCACGAGCCCATCTCGGTGGAGGTGCAGCTCAACAGTCGCATCGAGTCCTGGGTCTCAGAGACCCAGAGAACTATGGAGACCCTGCAGCTGGGCAAGAGCCTGCCCGGGCCGGAGGAGGACCACGCAGAGCAGAGTGGAGATGAGGACGCCCAGGCGCCCGAGGGGCTGGGTCTGGAGCCAGAGCCGGAGCTGGACACTGAGGCCTGGACGCCTGACCACCAGGCCACGCCCGACCTGCAGAAGCCCAGCAGCTGCGGCCCCGAGAGCCAGGAGCATGAGGAGCCCAGCGCTGCACCCCGACACGCGTAACTCAGGAAGCACCAGCTCCGGCCCAAGGCCCAGGAGTCCTCCCAGCCATGCCTCCATACTCGCGTCCAGCCCCCAGCCAGTGTTTTGTAGCACTTACTGTTTTGTTCCGATCTGTAGCTTAGCTTTTAATTTGCATCTAGGTGTCTTTCTAAGAATTTGTGGGAAATTCAGATCTGTTTCAGCTTCTTTTGTAGTGAGAAGCAATGATTAAAAAAGGAAGATTTTGGGCCGGGGATTTAGCTCAGTGGTTCTGCCGCCTGCCTCGCAAGCACAAGGTCCTGAGGTTGATCCCTGGTACCAAAAAAAAGGAAGACCAAGTTTGAGGGAAAATAAATTTAAAATGCTAGTTTAAGTCATTGTGGAAGCCAAAGACCAGGTTCTAAGGGTCGATGCAGTTACTGGTGTTGGTTTCATGACTGTTCCTCCACTCTGATCGTCTGATCGAAAAGTCGTTTGGGCATCTTCGACACAGAGCTGGAGATGGTCGGAGGGCCGTGCAGAAGGCTGCGGGAACAGAACGGGTCTGCGGGGCGGAGACAGGCCGCTGCTGCTCTCCGTTGGCCCACAGGTGCACATGTCAGAGGCTCCGGTCATTGTCATCACGAAGGTTGGGAGGGACCACGGGGCCTCCTGTGTGGAAGGGACAGGCTGTGTCCCGCAGGGCACAGGCCCCGGGAGAGGGCCTGCCAGGTTCAGGCTCAGACCTCTCTGCTTAGCTCAGGAATGTCTTGTACATAGTGTGTTCTCCTAGAGACAGCTGAGTACCTGGCAGCTGCTGTGATGGCAGCACTGGCGCAGGCAGCCTCCCCCGGGTGCTGTCCTCACGCTCAGGCTCAGGGCTCTTCAGACGCAGGTTTGATGGGGTAGCCACACTTGTCCTGACTGCAGAACTGTTGCATGTGGTGCCTAGCCTTGGGCACCTTCCGCGTGGCAGTGACCGTCGTTACTGACAGGAAGTCAGGGAAGGGAATTTTGCACAACTTCTAAGGTTATCCTGATGATCAAGGCTGAGCAGAGGAGGTTTTAGAAGAAAAGAGAAAGTCATAATTGTGCGAACCCGTTAGATGATTTAGCGTGGAAAGACATGCAGGTGTTCCTGTTTCAGTCGGTCATTCTCTGGGCGTGGGCACGGGTGCGGGCACTGCTCGGGAGAGGCTCTGCTCAGGGCGCTCGTGTCTCCCTGGCTGGCCATCACCGCCTGGCTTTCGCGATGTCCACCAGGTAATGTATTGCTGGAGTCACAGGTGATGCCTTTGTCCATCTCCCTATTCCCAGCCACACGCCTCCACACACACGCACACACGCACGCACGCACACCCACCCTTGAGGAGCCAGGCACCCTGCCCCGTGCTAGTTCCATCCCTAGGCCTGGGCCTGGGCCTGGGCCATTGCCGATGTCGATGTTTGTAGTGTTTGCGACGCTGGCACTCCATCACTGGGCGGGAGGCTCTCGGTGGCTGGTGTAGTGTTTGTGGGTTGCGGAAGTGCAGGCGCGTTGGTCTTTCGGCTTCCTATGTGCTCACGGGGCCGCTACTCCCGGTCCTGTCCCACTGCGGCAGTCGCCCACCTGCATAAGGTGTGAAGCCTCTGAAAGCAGCCGGGATCGGATGCGGCAGATCTTACCGTCTCTGCGAGTTGAGGGGCGCCAGCGCACCTAGAGAAGTGGTAGAGGTTTTGAACTCCTGACAGTCCTGAGAGCAAATCTTACAGCTTTTCATACTTTTTATGATGTTCATTTCCTTTGCTCAGTGTCACCGATTCAGATGCTCTTGATCTTAAGGGAATGGCTTTTCAGAGGATTCTTAAATTTTCTATCTCTTCGGGACATGAACTGCCATTTTAGATTTTTGACATTTGTATCAAGAGAGAAGTTGAGGAAATCTGGACACCAGTAACCTAATTGTGCTGCAGGCTGGGGAAGGGCCCAGTCATGAGTGCCTCTCCTGCAGCCAGCCCAGGGACCACAGCCTTCACTGTGACAGGCCGCCTCTCGGGGAGTATATGCTGCCCCGGGTGTGTGCCTACGTATCAGTGATGTCTTTATCACCCGTCTCCTCAGGCAAACCAGGGTTTGTGCATTGAACTGCAGGCTTTCTGGGAGGTATGAGAATTAGGGAAGTTTTAATTATTCTTGGAAGTGGGTGTGGTTCACTCTTCAGAGACCTAGAAAGAGATCCAACCCTAAGGCAGAGTGTTCCTCAGCACAAAAATGAAAACAGTGATTTTTTTCTTAGTGTGTAGAAGTTGCTTTATTGGCAATAATAAATGTTAGATTTCTATTTTAGTACATAAATACATGACTTACATTACGAATTCCACTGCCCAGATTAGAGTTTTGCTTTAGTACATTTCTTTGCCATGAAGATTACTTCTCAGAAGACCAATGTTCATATTAGCTTAGTTTTCGGTTTAAAAATGTTTGTAAATGATGTAATATATTTCTTTTGACTAAACAAAGAAAAATAATATGTTATACATTGAGAAGTTTTTACAGGCTTTGACTGGAGGTCATTTTTGCAGAGATGGTATTTTATATGCTTCCAGTATTTGGAAAAGAATTAGTCAAAAGGAATTCACATAGTTTAAATATTGATAAATTAATATCCAAATAATGTACTTGTCTGATTTCTTAATAAGTTGGGGGAGGTGGTTGGGGTGGGAATCATAATGTGCAAATGGGTAGTGATCTCTACATTCATTTTCAACATAAAACTGCTAATCGTAATGCATTGTTACTTTGATATATATATATATATATATAAAGTATTACTGTTTATAAAGCTGCTGTTTGCTTTAAAAAGTTGTCATGTAAGTATTTTCTGTATGTTGTGCCAACAGGTTAGAACATTAATCTGCTAAAACCTTTTTTGATTTAAGAAATTTTCTGTGAAGCTGGGTGTGTGGTGCACGCCTCTCATCCCAGCCCTCAGGAGGCTGAGGCAGGAGGATCGCTGTGAGTTCGAGGCCAGCCTGGGCTACATAGTGAGTTCAAGGCCAGCCTGAACTGCACAGCAAGACCCTGTGTCAAACAAACAAAAAGAAATTTTCTGTGAAATAATTTATCTCGACATCTCCCTCTTGCTGTGTCCTTTCAACCTTTACACACATCACAGAATCAACCAAACTTTTTGCCTAATCTGAAACCTGAATCCTAATTAATGGTAAAAATTTTAACTTTGTTGGCACATCACACCTTAAAAGTATTTGTATTATTTTGTAATTTAATGTCTAACTATACCACACCGATTTATAATTTAATGTCTTAATTGTAATGCTCTAATAAAAGCTAGCACCGTTAGTCTGAGTCCTAACACTAGGGTGCTCATCAGTCCTCTTGCTGTAATGAAGGATGATTGCTCCCTCCTGCGGGCCGCGGGGTAATAGCAGCCTTTTGCACTATGTACATACTGGTGGGGCCTTGTGTACCAATAAAAGGATTACTGGAATGGCATCTGTCGTTGCAGAGTAGACCCGCACTTCCGACTGGGAGAGTGGAGGGAGGGCAGTGCACCTTGGAGCAGGTGTGGGCCGTAGTCTCACTCGCTCGTGTGGGTAGGTTTGCCTGGCTCCTGCGTCCTCAGGGCCCTGGTCGTAGATGCGGGACTGCTGCTCCCTTCTCAGGTGAGCTACAAGGAATGGCCAGTCCCCTCCGCCCGCCAGCGTCCTCATGCGGGCTGAGGCTCAGCATTCCTCAACCTGTCCCCAGCCACGGTGAAGCGCAGGGTCTGGAAGGGGCAGCCGCATCTGCCAGGGAGGACTACTGATGCTCCTAACAGGACAGTCCCAGCTCCCCACGAGGAGCGGAACAGGTTCTGGCCATCACAGGGTGTAGGGCCGTCTGAGCCTCCTGTCAGAGCTTTCCCCAGGAGCCTTCGGTTCTCCCGAGTGAACAGAAGAGGCTGTCGGTGCCTGAGAACGGTCATGTGCTAGGTGTGCGAGAGGGAAGCGAGGAGCTGCAGACCTTCTGCAGAGGTGCTCCATCCTAAGTCTGCCCACGGGTGGTTCCTTCGTTTGAGAGAACGCTTGCTGTGCAGGGAAGTCACCGAATCGATTCAGCGGTCCAGGCTGAGCTGACCCAGGGACTCCTGGTTAGGACCTGACAGGCCCAATTCCTCTGACCGCCTCAGGCCCTCTGTTCCTGTTCCTCCTCCTCCCCCTCCCCCTCCTCCTCGCCTCTCCACACTGTCAGCCCTGGGGCAGGGATGGTTGGGTGATTGGTTGGCTACACCCAGGCAGTGGCCGGGACCGAGCTTCCTATGGAGACAAGGCTGGGCCAAGTGTGGGTGAGCGCGTGAGATATGCGTCTCAGAGGCTGCTGGTGGTCTTTGTCCAGTTGCTGAGCAGCGTGGATCTGGGGCCTAGTGAGTTTGGAGGCTGGACTGGCAGAGATTTTGCTTTGTTTTGTTTTTGAGAGCGGGTCTTGCTATGTAGTTCAGGCTGGCCTTGAACTCACTATGGAGCCCAGGCTGGCCCCAAACTCACAGCCTCCTGCCTCAGCCTCCCCAGTGCCAGGATTACAGGTCTGCAGTCGGCAGGGCCCTGGCCTGGAATTATCAGCCTTCCTGGCATGGGATTCTGGTCAACCAGAGGCAGCCAGTCCCACCTTTCTCTACCAAGCCAGAGCAACATCAATGCAAGCAGGGTTCTCCAGCTATCAGTTTTAGTTCTGTTTACCTGAGCTGCAGAATTTCATTGCTTTGCAGACCCTCTGCTTGAGAGATAACGAACTGAAATGTATGAAGTTAGTTTTGTTTGTTAGCCCTGGTTAAAAAGACTTGCAAATCCAGCCTTCTCAGCCACAGGAGATGTCACTGCCTCCTCCCTGAGCCAGCACCAGAAGATACACAGTGAGGCTCTGGGCAGTGCCCCTCACCCTGCTGGCAGTGCCCAGTGGAGCCTGGCGGAGCCAGTGCAGTTCATCCTGCGTGCAAGGCTGCACTGAAAACATCTCCCAAGCATAGTGATGACCCAGAAGGACACACGATGTCTCTAACTTTCATTCTTTCCCCTAATAAACGGCCGCCTGGGTTCTGTGGTTCTCGCTTTCCTCCTCCGTCAAGGAAAGACTCAGTCCTGTCCCCTGCTTGGGGAAACAGACCATTGTTTGGCCACAGGGTGATGATGCAAGGACAAGACGCCGTCTGTCCTAGGACTGGCAGCATCCCGGGCAGCTGGACACCCCGTGGGCCACTGACCCTAGTTTTCTTGCAGATTTGAACTGAAGGCCACAGCAAGCAGAATGCGGGGAAAGCAGGTGTGGAGAGCAGCTGTAAGGAGCTGCCCTCTAGGCAGGGGGCCCGAGCCTCTGACTGGTTATGCAGAGCTCTGTGTGCTGGGAATGTTTGATAAGAATAACCAGAGGGACCAGCCGGTCAGAGTACAGTCATTTTCTACAGTGCAAGTGGCTTTGCAAACCCTCATCACCAAGACAGAACCTGGTAGAAATGGAGTCAGTCCCAACCCCCCTACTGACTGCTTTAGCAAATCACTACTGCTTGTTGGGTAGCGTGCAACTACACACTTCACCTTCTTCTCATGAACTGGAAACTGCCTCCCTTCATCTTTCCCCTGGCCTAGCCCTCTTCAGGCATGAAATGTGCGGGTCTCACCTGTGACCCTTCCATCTGCTGCATCCTACACCTTTGGTGTCCTTAGCAGCTAGCATGGTACTGGAGGGCCGGCACCCTTTGCTCAGTCCAGAAATTGGGCGAGCTTGCTGGTGGTGCCCCCGGTGGTCAAGGCCGCTCTGCCTGCCGGAGACCCCTGTCTGGTGGTCCTGGGCAGCAGCCCCCACCACAGGCACGACTCTGCAAGCAGTCCTGGCAGCAGCCTGCACATCGCCAGTTCAGCTCCCCTTCTGGGTGCACTGGCCCCTGTCTCTATCAGGGCAGTGTTGGCCAAACTGGCTTTTCATTCCAGCGTTGAAGAAAAATTTTCCACATCCTTGTAACTTGTGCAGCAATTGAGGTAAGTTGCTACCAGTTTCCAAGAAACCTGAGCAACAATCAAGAGGGTGAAGCCGCCAGGCATTTAGACCATATATCATGGGAAAGAAAACAACTTTGAAAGAAAGTGACTGTTGGAGAGCCGATAAGCAGGTGTCTGTGGCCCACTCTGGTCAGAATGACCCCTCCCTGGGCAACAGCTGCCCGATCCCCACCTCAGGATAGAATCTCTTAATTGCAGAGGAGCAGCCAGTAAACGATCCTGGAAACAATCAGTCAGAAAACCCTGAAACTGCAGACCCATGTGTGGGAATTTCAGACCTGGCGCTGAGAAAGGTTGCCTCGGCTGATTTTGGGTCCCTGGTTTAAAGAGGGGACTCAGAAGCCATTTGTGGCTGTGAAAAGCCAAGTGTCCATCCGTGTTGAGCGGGATTCATTGCTGTCGGGCATTTCAGAGCTCCCCTACCCTGGTGCATGCTGGCTCCAAGGACGGAAAGATTTCACAGACTCAGCGCAGGGCTGGGTGTGGCTCAGATCTGGGTTCAATCCCCAGCGCCAAAACAAAAAGCCTGCGTGACTGCTATGCTTCTGAAATTCTTGTTAGTTGGTGGCTTATTGTAACCTTATTATATCTCTTATGTACACCAACTCTAATCTTAACTAATTCACCAGAATTGCAGGTGAAGCCTTTTAAAATACATCTTTTCCACTATGTTATTTCCCTGGGACTGTTGTGTTTTACTCACATAGTATGATTTTCATGCAGAGTGCTGCCAGTGCATAACTTTTGACTTGTAGGGGAAAGGACAGGGTCTTCCCAAAAGGTCATTCCTGGTGTTTATTGGTAATCTCAGAAGAGGAACGTCTTCAGATAACACCAGAACAACTGGAAGGTGGACCTCAGCTGCTAACAGAAACCATTGGGTCTCCCTGTCTCTGGGTCTGATTTGGGAGGAGCCTGGGTTTCCATAAGGATACTTTCAGGTAAGAAGTGTTGGGGGGGTTCTTTTTTCTTTTTTCTTTTCCCATTAAGTTTACTGGTACATTTTAGGTATGAAACACAGCCGCATTCATCACTGGGATCCTGTACCACCACAGGAGCATCTTGGTTCTTGTTTTTTCCCCTTCCCCTGCCTCCCCCACCCCTCCAGCCCTCCCTACCCACAAAGGCCCCTTTTTCCTCCCCCCATATTCCTCCCCCACCCTGCTGCTCCAGACCCTTTCCTCCTCCTACACAACATCAACCATACATTTTAGGTTTTTGTTTTTTTTTTTTTTTTTGGTATCGGGGATCAGGATCGAACTCAGGTCCTTCCGCTTGCGAGGCAGGCAGCAGAACCATTGAGCTAAATCACCGGCCCTCAACCATACATTTTTAAAATTACAATATCAAGACCTAGGAGACAGTACCACAGGTTTTACAAAATTTAAAAGGCCATAGAAAGCATATTACAAAAATCTTTTTTGAAATAAATTTGA